GAAAAATTCAATATGAATTATGGCTGGCTTGGGTTTGGTGTAACTAAATTACTTACATTTCTTCGTCATCAGATGCTACTTTCGTGAATACATCCCTTTCTACTATGGCGCCATTTCTTATTGAAAGGCTTTGATTTTTTCGCAAGATTAAAGCGTCATCCTGAATAGAAGAAAACATCATGAATGGAAAATTTGTTATAAAATAGACAACAAAAGATGGCAAATCGACAATCTATCAACCAGCTTGTTTCAAATTATACTAACCAAACTAGTGTGTAACCGACGTATCTACTACTTACTCATATCGAACATCACTAAAATCATTTTAGTAAAATGAATAAAACTTAACTATCAATCCCAATAGAGGTCACTGACTGTAATGATTGGAGGGATTTTCGAACCAAATCAAACATTAAAATATTCATTATCACATAATCATAATTTCATATCAAACTCTCATCAGAGTTTAACAATTAATTAACGAGCAAGTGTAAGCTATAAGTTTGAATTTTTGAGTGCCTTTAATGTTGTTCACTTTTCTGTTTTACTCCCTAAGCATGATTATTCAAACAAATTAAGAAAAATATAATCTAAAGCAAGTTCCAAATGAGTTCTTAAATGAATAATTGATATGCCAAAATCTCAGATATTAATGGAAGTTAATTACAGAATGACTTTACTACTTGATTATTCCTTCATTTATGATCTAAATTTAATCTTCACTTTGTCAGCTGCTCTATTTGATCCAAGATTAAGTATTAATGATGTAATAAGTTTCCTTTTCGTTGATAATTCACATTGTAAAGGTTAATAGGGTTTAAAATAGATGAAAAGCCTTTGATTCTGAAAGGTGAATTGAACTGAGAACGCCTAGGAACATGAAATTGTGCGTTTCCCATGAAAATAATGGATTCGTGATTAACATTTGTTTATTATTTTACTTACGTTAAATGGATGATACACAATGTAATGTACAAATTTCGTGATATTTGCTGTTATACATTCATGAAATGTTAAATTGTTCACCAATCTAATCTAGTGTCAATCAATGTTCACTTTATTTTCATTTCATCTGATTATTTACTATTCGATTACCTTCATTATTTTACCTTTTGTCCATTAACTCAAATTATGGACAATTTTTTGTCTGGTTCACAATAATTTACATGAAGAGTCAACCCAAATCATTGATGCAAATAATTCAACAAACAACTCGTAAACCTGATTGTCTGTGGTTAGGTAATGCTTGGTTTAATTGAATAAAGAACGGTAAATATTGATCAAAATTCAACTCTTCATCATTAAAGATGTAAGATGTGAATAAAATGTGAGTCAGCCTTTAAATGTGAGTTCATTGATATTATTGATTAACCATTAAATTGAAGGAAATGAGAAACAATTGAAATGGCTACTCTGTTTAACCGTTCAATTGCTTTGGACAACTTTAGGCCCTAAATGTGGTTCAAGTTGAGTAATGAAAGAAATTAATTTTCTGGTTCATACAAAGGCCCGGTATCTTTTCCTGATCAATTTTCAAGTGTTGATATTGAATTAAGACTTTCGGTTTCTTAATCAATTGAGATATCATTAATTTGATTGCTTTAGATAGTAGAAATGATTGAAATCGGATGAAAAATCAATGAAGTTAACGGATAAACCTACACAATCAGATTTACCATCTGTATGGGTCGTTGTCTGTTGCTTGACAATGGTGAGACCAGCAACATTTGTTGCGAAAGGATGATGATTACGATGATAATTAACTTGAAAATTTGGTTTCATGGAAATAACGGATCCATTTAGACAGTCGAATAGACAGAGTAAAGGAAAGAGACAAGCGGGAAAGAGAGTGAGAGAAGGAGAAATGTAAGTGTGAGAAATAATGGAGAGGCGCAGAAAGAGAAAGTGAATGAATAAAGTCAGTTTTGCTGCAAGTCTTTTGCATTATTTTTGTCTACCTTCTGCTTAGTTTTTGGCTTTATTTTGGCTTTTTTCATCATCATTTCAGTTGCTAACTTATTTTGAATAATCACCACAATCATCATGGTTGCATGTTAATAAACCTTTATTCAGTGTTCAAATTTATACTACAAAGCAACTGTTTCCAGTTTCTCGTCTGATAAATCTCTCTCTCTCTTTCTCCGTTTGTGATATTCCTGCTCTTCTCCTCGTGTTATGTGTTTTTTTAATTTGATTGGTTACATTCTTGATACCCCTGCTAATCAATTTAATTAAGGGTGTTTGGATAAGTGTTCATCTTGTAAATTAAGAGTGGAGTCTGAGAGAGAGAGACTGCTTTTTCTTGATTCCAATGAAGAAATAAGATTGTCTGTGTTTTCAATTTTGGCAAAACATATGATAATGAAGTTCGAAGTCTGAACCTACATCAACAACGGTTAATTCATCTTCAATTCTTCTTCCAGTTTATTCCACTTCAGATGTATTTTGTTTCGAAAAATCCTTTCACTTTCGAGCACTCTATTGTCACAAGGTAGATTGTGTAAATTGTCATCAATTCCATCTGTTTATTATGACAAATCATGGTAAAACCAGTCTGGTGATTATCGACAAGAGCTTTCAACATTTGTCTTACACTTTTTGACTCACCAATAGTTGAAAACAGTGTCCGTTTTTAGTAAAGTTTTTTGGGTCGTTTGGCCATTCCTCGGGATTTTTAAACCTTCATACCTACACATTAAATCAAATGGCGCCATCAGTGATTGGACTCGGTAGAAGAGGTTTTTGGGATCCAATAACTTCGACTATCGACTGGTGTGAAACCAATTACGAAGTTAGCTTCTACATAGCTGAATTTTGGAACACTTTGTCTAATTTAACTTTCATCATACCACCGTTGATTGCCTTTGCTCATCTACAGCGATATGAAATTCCCTTTTTATTTCTTAGTCCATTGTTATATCTTTCATTTGTCGGCCTTGGATCTGCAGCATTTCACATGACTCTTAAATATGAGATGCAATTGTGGGATGAAATGACCATGATCTGGGAAGCCCTTCTGGTCAGTTTTCTGTTTATTAAAATGCTTCATCCACCAACGGCAGCGAAAAAATCAACGAAGATTGGTCTTATTGCAGTTGGATTGCTTCTGGAAATCTCTTATTTAGTCGTAAATCAGCCACTATTCTTTCAACTTGGCTTTGCTGCGATCCATTACATGGTAATTTATCTTGGATATCGAATTACTCGAACCTGCCCATCATCACCTAAACTTTTCTGGATAGGTGTTTTCCTCAATCATTTCGCATTCTTTTTGTGGAACATTGACAATATCTTTTGCCGTCAACTTGACGGATTTCGATGCAGTATACCAAACATATTGACACCTTTATTCCAACTTCACGCAGTTTGGCATGTAATCGCCGGTTTTGCAACTTACTGTATGATCACATTTGCTATTCATGCTCATCTACTCAGTCAAAGGCGATATTTTTACATCAAACTACACCCTTTAACTGGACTAATATTAAGTAAAACTTAAACCAGCAATGAGCCAGATATTAATAATGCTGTTGTAATTTGTTCAGTCATTATTTTCAGAAGCATGACAAATTAAAAAACGCAAGTAAACAAACATTTAATATAAAGCGAATGCGGAAAGAGATAAACATGTATCCAAGCGTATTTATCAAACAAAAAGAGACAAATGGGAGATCCAAAAAAAGTGAAACCAAAATAAAACAACATTGTCACCATGATGATGATTATCACCGAGGAATTATCCTATTTATTCACAAACACCTATTGCTTTTCAAACAACTCACTCTTCAACTTTCTCCTTCCTCATTTTTACTGTTAATTTGCTGCTCCTACTCATTGATCAGTTAACAAGGCCATCATTTTCCTCTGCCAATGTGAATGGAATAGAGGCAAAGAGCTTAACAAAAGGAAACGAAAAACTCATTGGAATCAATGGAAACGAGAACTTGAATTATATAACAAATTACATCATCCAACATCATTTCCAATCAATTTGCTCATCTACTCATTCAGTCCACCATTCAGTCCACCGGCTATATTTATTGATAATTTAACACACAAACATGCAATCATTAAAAATCCAGATCAAATAAAAGAGTTGTTATCATTTGGACTCGATCAAAATGGTCTTCGCACATCAAAAGCCTTGAGCAAAAATTAAGAAACAAGTCATCCTGGTCAGCGCAGTTTGAAACCTTTCACTTCAACTTTATTGGACGTTCATACCATGAGGTCAAGCATTAAAAGGATAACCTTGCCGCAGGAATAACTTTCATTTTTCAACTCACCTTTATTCACTTTTATTCATCATGATCATCTACAAACCCCCATCAGCAAACAAGTTCAAACAAGATTCGAATGAAAAATATCTTCCATTCTTTCTTTCATTCTCTTATATAAATTAACTATCCATCTAGTCAACACGATCAAAACTTTCAAGCATCAAATTAACCTCAATAATAACATCCTGATTCAGTCTAATTGTTAATATTGTTCCAACATCGAACAAGCAAAGCAAAACAACAAAAATGAAAAGCCATGCTTTAGGTTTTCAAGTTATTCACATTTTAATTTCAATAACGACTCCAATGGTTACCCTTTAATTGCTCAATTTAATTTAAACCTAGCTCAATGAGTTTTTTCAGTTTTTACACTAATTATTATCAACAAAACTCTCTGTAATTTACATTTTTGTTGTTTCGCCATTTTCCGTTATTTTTCTTACACCTTTTATTGACATATATTTTCTTCCATTTATACAATTTCATTAATTTCCATATTGATTCAAAGACTTGATGTAATGAGCCCACTTTGAAAGGTTTGACAGAGTCAATCAAAATTCAGGTTCACCCAAATTTTAGAGATTTGCTTGAAAAAAATACTTCTTTTCTCGTCCCTCTTTCACCCTAAACACACTTTTACTTGCATATCATCTTTGCAATTGTCAATCATCTAATCCTATTTAGTCTTAATGCTGATGCCAATCATGATTCTGGTTAATGATTGATATTTTAGTAATTGTGATTTTGATAATTTGCAAGACAATTACGAATACAGTATTTTCCTTTAGTACCAAGATCAATTAGGTGAAATCACTTTCCTCAACGACTAGTCTTTATTTTTTCAATCATCTTTACCTACCATTATTATCACAACCCAATCTTTCCTTAATTGATCAATGATCATGGTTTTCCTTTTATTTGTAATATTTATTCCATAGAAGGGGAAAAAATGTTCACATTTACCTTAAAATGTGATTCAGATTGTTTCCAGAGAAACGGTTCAACTCCAACCTTATTGTAACAGTGCTTAGCATTTAAACAATTTTGGGATTTAGCAGAAACCAAAACATCATCGAAATCAATATTACCAAATAAATAAGAAAACAAAAGTAAGGTAATTTCAATTACCATTATAAGCAATACTAATGAAAAAAACAAATTGTAATAATAGTTATTTGTAGAGAGAAATATAATCTTTCAAATGGATTAATGATTTGTAACGTCATAAAGAGTCAACTATGATTATTAAGAGGGAAAATTGATTTAAATTGAATTTCTTATTAATCACTAAATCCTTAATTGTTGTTGAATCAAACAAACAGTTTTCAATATTTGCTTTCATCAACTCAAAATGAAATAAACCCATCAATCAGTGTTTATGTTATTAGTATCATTTGGTTGTCTCTTCATTCAAACAGCTCATAATTTATTGATGATTATAATGTTTCATGACCTGCGATTTCCTGTATTTTCGTCTGTTTAATTGTAACTTTTATCATTTTAATCATATTTTGTGTTAAATTTTGGTTAAATATTTTATTGTTTTCATCTATGAATATTGTAAAACACAATCAATCAACTTCTGGTTAAATTTGACGATGAAAAGCATTTGTTATAATAGAAGAATAAAGTAAATAATTTTTAAGCCTACGAAAAGACCCTGAGTATCGACAATTCATTGAAATTTTCAGCCTAATTGTCACATTTACTGCTCTTCAACAATTTAGAGGTTTGATGGAATCAAAAAGAAACAATTGAAATGTTAATGAATAATTTTTAACCTTTTTATAACACAATTTGTTCATTAGTTTCAAAAAAGATCCATTCATTTGTCAATTCAATTTGAATGCAAGTTCTTTATCAATGGTAATGACAGGCGTCAATTGAGCGCTGCATGGATGCAAATTTAACTCATTAAACTACGCTTTTCGGAATAATTTGAATTTTAAATGATCAGGATTTTTTTCATTCAAAAGAGTGAGAATTAACAACTCATATAAATGTATTTTGTTCACTTGCCAAATGGGATCTTCATTTTTGCGGTAACATTAATGTAAACATGAATAAATAACAGGTTGTTAAAGTGTTAAAGTCAAACAAAATTTAAGGCATAACCTAATTTGATGTGTTTATCGAGGGGAAGCAATTATCAGGTTGACAATATTGGCTTAGAATGATTAGCGTAACAATAGTAACCATCAACGTTGTGAAAAGATCATTGACCGTTCTCCATGAAACACCAATCAAAAAATATTTGGCTAAAAATTTGGTACAAAAAAACTGTTTAATTGTAAAAAATAAATATTGATCTTGACGTGTTAGGACAAGAGGAAGACCAAAAAGGTGACAATTAGAGGTAGCAGTTGGTGTTGCATCCGGCTTGATCCATTGTTTTTGCTTTTGTAACCAGGTAATGTAGTGATAACTTTGACCGCATGTTGACGTTGTCTGTTTTTTTGAAATGTCAAATTCATATGCACATTATCGGTGGTCACGTCAAACTGAAAATTAGAGAAGAAAACGGAAAATCTTCCGGGCATGGTCCAGAAACACCGAAAGCCAGATGTGTTCAATCTTTCTTGGCGCTTTGTATTGTGAATCACAGTTTCCTGAATTGATTTGAGTTTTCCTGTTTCCCAGATATAGTGTTCAGAAAAGCCTGACGGAGTACACAAAATGGCATAGTCATCACCGTACACATTGTCACCCGAAAATGAGACGACAAACGAGTCACTATCATCAGCAGCATAAACAGCCCAATCTAGGAGACCATGAGATCCATACAACCTTTCATCCTGGAATGGCTTTGTTACATTATTGGTGGTGGATGATAGCGATAATGATTTTAAATTGGAACTGTTTCTGTAGCTTATGACAACTAAATTGGTACAATTTCGGTAATCAAGACAGCCATCAAACCCAATACACAAGACATTTGAACTTTTGCGTAAACACGACTCATATAGATATCTAAAACGAAAGATTGGATTATGTGATCCATCTGGATCAACTATTTTTTGATAATGATTCCATGTGAGCTTTACTGATATCGGCTCTTTAATCAGATCAACCATTTCTCCATTTTTCATCAAAGGCCAGGTACCAAGATCCTCTAATAAGATTACAATAAGATAATCGTAATTTGTCAATCTTTTACAATTAATTTCCAACAAACTTACCAGAGATAATAAATTTACAAAACACGGATCCATAAGCAACCAAACCATTTTGATTCACCACCTGACCATAGCTTTCATCTGCCGTTGTTGATTCAGTTACTGACTGATCATCGCGTCCATCTTTCTCACCATTTAAACACTGATAGCCAAAGGATAACTCGAGATCTGGATTGTAATCAAAAAATAAACCGAAAGATGATGTATCTTCTTGAGCATACAATTGTAATTCGAGTTCTTCTCGTTCAACTGCATTTTCATTGGAAATCGTTGTCAGCAAAGGCTTAAGGATCGCTACAACGGAACAAGATGAACATTTCAAGCATCCTGAGGTTGGATCGTTTTTATTGAAACCATAACAAACAGCTGAACTACCTCTTTCATCACTTGAAAGTTTAATCATTGTACATTCTTTGAAAACATCTTCTCTCAAGGAGTAACCTGGAAGTCCCGATGACTTTGATTCAGCCAGGACCAAACCATCAGACGATTTAATGGCAACTTTATACATGGTATCCTTACAGTTGAATAATGTACCATTCAACTCGAAAATCATTGGCAAAGACCAGATAAATTTCCGTACAGACCCAGTGACATGACTTGAGCTGTAAGTCAGTACATTTTCATCCAACACAATCTCCAAAAAATCATGGAAAACAGCCTTATGCCGGCAAATATTCTGATCACAATAGGTTCGTAAAATTAGCCGGTTAAGCAAAGTTTCATTCTGTCCATTACCATCCTTCAATATCCTTGGCAATGGTTTTATATCAATAACATAAGATGTTTGCTCTTGAGGTACCAGAATTAGGAACATGAAATCGATGTAAATCGCGTCATATTCTCGCGCGGTTATAATAAGTAGTTCAGAGCAAGAAGCACTTTTGACACAATCATTGGAACCATAACAAATTTTGGTTTTTTGTTTACACTCTTCATACAAATATTGTAATTGATAAATTGGTATCAAACTTTTGTCAGCATGTTTATTGCTGTAAACTCCATCTATCGATCCAAATACCAAAGAGTACGGATTGTTTATTAAATCAACAGGCTTACCATTTTCATTCAACGGCCAATCTGTATTATATTGTGAGATTAACCATGAACAACCCATAATTGCTGAACCATCCTGAATTTGAGGAACCAGATAAGCTTTTTTAATAGATTTCCATCTTCTAATTGGATTGTTTTCAACCAAAGAACTAGATTTGCTGTCAGTGACTTCACAACGGTACAGATAAGCTGTTTTACCATCGGTTAACCAAAAGTCTTGAGTTGACGCAGCTGATTGAAGGATATACGTTTTTATCGTTAATTGCTGTTCTTGGCTATTTTCATATGGTGTTTTATTTGCTGCCATAAAGCTAGTTGGTACTCTTGATCCTTTAGCGACCACTAAATAGTCACAGTCGAGAGATTTCAAGCAATCTTCATCATTCAACGAGGAATATGAATAACATACCTGGTAGCGATTGCTATCACTTTGACAGATATTATAGAGATCGGCTAAATTGGTGTTATTTTCCGTTGACCCAACTAGTGATATTAGGTTAACACAACAAAATATCTGGATAAATGTAAACTTGGAGCGTTTCATCGTTTCAGCGAGAATGAACAATAATTTACACAGAAGTCTTCATCCTTGAAGACAGTATATATGTTATCGCCATAATCCAAATTAAGATGCAACAATCTTCCTAATCCATTGAAAACGTCTTTCACATCAATAGTGTTATCGGCTTTTGCATGTGAAAAACAACCTATTTTCATGAAAACTATTCAACATTAAGAATCAACTGTCTCGTGGAGAAATTAGTGAATGGTTATTCAATACAATGTAGTTTCACAATTCTTATTATTTAACCAATTACCGATAGCAATAATTTCTAGACGATTCACTTGTTACTTGGTTTCAGTAATTACTTATCAAGTTCGCTCTTTTCCGTCTAAGTTACCCTTAATTTGCCTACTAAACAATTATGGTTGTATAATGATAAAACCCCAATCAATTCTAATGGTGTTGCCATTTGGTAATGCTAATGAGCTCCTCATATTCAACACATTTCAGTCGTTCACATTACCATGTGAAAACATTAGTTGATATTTATTTGAATAAAGACCAAAATAGATTATTTATTGTCATTAAATACTGTTTATATTATAATAAATTGTAATATAATAACCGAAAGTAAATATGATAATCAGGTAAAATCTAGTAAAAAAGTTGATAAACTCAAATAAGTAAAAGTGTTTTCAACTCGCAAGTTGACTAATTGGTTGTTTTTTTTCCTTTTCCGTATTCTGGTTTTACTGTGAATAATTTCAAAGTCAATCTTTTGTGCAGTTGATTCCATATTATAAGGTCAACAAATAACTAGCGATTGTTTTGCGTTCATATCTAACCTGCACTCGCTAAAGAACCTTTTGTTTTGCTTTGCTTTGCTTGCCCATGGATGAGTTGAGCTCAAAAGGAGAGACAGTTTAAGATTATGATTATGATCACCATAATCATGATCATGACGTTTTCATGATTCCAAAATTTGTAATTAACCAAGTAAGTCTAATGGTTGCTAGAAATTTGCCAATCACTATTGATGACAATAATTGTCATCATTGATTATTTCATGGACAAAATTTGATATAAAGAAAAGGCTTTTGGCTTGAAATCTCTTGTGACTGTCTATAAACAATTTAATAAACTCGCCATGGAAGTTTAACGTTTAAATCGGTTATTTTATTAGATGATAATGGAAGCAAAAAATGGTGTTCAGTGCAATGATCATGATTAAATCTCTGTATAAATAGAGGTTGATAATTTGAGTTCGATCAATTTGTTAACTTGATTCCACAGATGATTTCACAGAACCTTTTTCTTTCTCAACTAATAGACTGATTAGTGATATTGATAGATCAAAGATGGTGTTACCCTCAACATTCAAGCTAAAATTTAATTGGTCAATATGGTTAATTGTTTATCTTTCATCAACAGTTGTCATCAATGGTCAATTAATTGCCGAAAATCAAGGTAATGCCAGTGTTAATAGTATTGATACCAATGGAAACAAGGAAATTAATAATTCAAGCTCTAATGAAACTTCATTACCAAAAGGTGAGTGAACTTTAATTTGTATATTTGTGCGATTAATTACTTTCTCGACTGTATATTTTCTGTTGTGTGTGTGAAACGTTGGGGATTAAAAAATAGTGCAACGTAGGATCTTTAACTGGCTTATGAATGGACTCTCAGATCAACCTAATGGTGGATCAACATCAAACCCAGACAAAAATTCACCATCCATCAGACAAGGATATATTAGCGGATCATATTCGGGTTACATGCCTGGTTTCAGAAGACCAATGCGACCTCAAATGACTGGATCGTTTGGTTCGTCTACGGGACAAGCAATGGGACAGTCGATGATGCAACCAATGGGACCTCCAATGGGACCTCCAATGGGACCTCCAATGGGACCTCAAATGGGACCTCAAATGGGTTCATCAATGGGACAGTCAGTAGGACACCAATAAGACCTCCGATGGGTTCATCAATGGGACAGTCAATGATGCCTCCAATGGGACCTCAAATGGGTTCAGCCATGGGACAATCAGTAGGACAGTCGATGATACCACCAATGGGATCTCCAATGGGTCCACCGATGGCACCACCGATGGGACAGTCACAATCAATAGGCTGGCCACAAATGGGACAAAACTCGAGATTACCTCCCAATAGTCAGTCTTTGGGTATGCAAGGAGGATCAGGTTTCAATTCCATGCCGAATGGTCAATTCAATAGCCAAATGAATTACCCTATGGATAATTTTTCCACTGAGGATCCTTATGGAGATTACGGAGGTATGTCCGAAAATACTGACTAACTGGACTCAATTGTTAACAACAATGAGAAAAGTAATGTTGAAAGAAATATCAAAACAAAAATCAAAACAAAAACAAACCAATATTTAATCAAGATTTAATAGCCAAAACAATAAAGTTTCAAATACACATTTATCAAGGTTTACATTGATTAAAAGAATATTGTTAATTTTTTGTCAGATAAATTGTGAACGAAACACACATATTAAGCTTTATTTGTTTTTCATTCAAGGTGGTGATTTTTTCACTTCACTGAACAACTTTTTGTTTGGTTCTTCCAATGATGCCCAATCAAGTGGTGGATCCTGTGGAGGTGGACGAAGAGGAGAAAGAGATAGAGGCAGAGTAAATATAAATGGTCAAAGCGTTCCAAGCTCTGTTGGTACTACTACTGCTGCTCCAACTTCAAGTATGGGAATGAGTTCTGAAGATTGGAACAACTATATTAAACTCGTCACAGCATTAGCCAGCGATGGAGGCGGCGGCGGAGGCGGCGGTGGCGGTGGTGGAGCTGGAGGGGGCTTAGGTGATTTAAGTTCATTAATGGATACTGCATCAAGCGTGATGCAGTCATTTGGCTGATTATTAAGCAAACCAAAAAGATTTTTGACTTTTAACTTAATATCATTTTGTTTGGATATGTAAACATTTTTTAATTTTTTAGTCCTTTTTTAATCAATCAATTTGATTTACATAATTTCAAACATTTTTGCTAGTATCCAATAAATGAAGTTGCTAAATTATTGGTTGATTCAATTATTTATAAATTGTATTTATGGTGATTTATGTCTACTGTATGTAACAATAAGCCGCCTTGAAATTCAAAAATTATGAAGCGATTCCACTAATTTTTGAATTTCTGCATGTTCCATTCATTGATTTCATTTATAAAATTGATGTACTCTTATATTCATCTTTTTGCATCTTTTACGTTAAATCAACTATTTTTCATTTGACTAAATGCATCCAGCTGAAGTTGACAATTAATCTGATTTCTGGGTGATTAATATCCGGCTGCAAATGTTTTATCATACGCAGTAGAGCTCATAATACCTACGATTCTTAAACAATTCGAGTCACATGAAATTCTTGAAGTTTCCTCTCATTGTTACCCTTTTTTGTTCAAGTCATCGTTATATTATTTAATAACATTTGATGGTTAAAAAATGTATTGATACTTGATTAAACTTTTCCCACAACCTGGCTGCCAGTGTAACAATAACAATAACCTGATCAAAACAGCTAACTTTCAATTGAATTAATAAGCTTTTGTTACCTTGAATTTTTCGAGAGTAATATCACAGTAATAATAGATCACGAGGTTTTGTTTTAATTGAATTGAATTAATTTATATCAATTTTTTCGATATTTGTTATGGAATCGAATCCTGTGGTAACTTATTACATGAGAAACAACATAATAAGAAGAACGTAATTGCATGAGGAATTAAACGTAAGTGAATTGATTGAACTGTTAACTGTCAATCAATGATGAAAAGATGCTTTGGTTGTAACTTTAATTCACTTTTTACTCTGGCATCTTTCATTTACAGAATTAATTGTTTTATTGTTTAAACAGAGGGCCATCCTCATCAGCACATCATTATTAATAATGAGTGATGAGTGAGTTTGAAAAGGAGACTTTTTTTTGTTTCAAAATTGAGTATAAATATCAGATGAAACTGCTTTCTGATTAATATAACTCGATATACTAGTATAACAAGTATAAATCATTGACAAAAACACCTTGATATTTTCGTTAATTATCGTAACTCACATCCAAAATGGCTTTTAAATTGTGCCTTTGTCTTCTATTCTTTGTACCATTAATGAGCGCTCAAAGCTCTAGTGTAGCTACTTCAGTTGCCTTCAATGGTGAAGGTCCACCACAACCACCACATTTTGGTGCCGAAGGTGAATTCACTGGACCTGGTGGTTTCAACAGTCAACAGTCAAGGAAGTTTCGGAAGTTCCCTTGGATTTGGAGGTAATCAAGGCAGTCGTGGAGGCTTTGGTGCTTCAAGTGGCTTCGCAGGCCAAGGTGGTCAAGGCTTTGGAGGCTTTGGTGGTTTCGGTGGTCAAGGAGGACCCGGTGGACGAGGAGGTCAAGGAAACTCAGGTTTCAGAGGACAAGGTGGTTCTGGTGGCTTCGGTGGCTTCAGAGGTCAAGGTGGCTCTGGAGGTTTTGGAGGTCAAGGTGAATCCAGTAATTTCGGCGGTTTCGGTGGCTTTGGAGGCCAGGGAGGACCTGGTGGACGAGGTCAAGGCAGACCTGGAGGATTTGGAGGCCAAGGTAGCGCTGGTGGCTTCGGAGGTCAAGGAGGACCTGGTGGACGAGGTCAAGGTAGACCAGGAGGATTTGGAGGCCAAGGCTTCGGAGGTCAAAGCTTCGGAGGACAAGGTTTTGGAGGACAAGATGGACAAAATGGACAAAATGGAATGAATGGACAAGCTGGAATGAGTGGACAAAATGGAATGAATGGACAAGATGGTGGTTTTGGAGGTCGAGGCCAAGGAGGCCCAGGTGGAATGGGTGGACGAGGACAAGGTGGTTTCAGAGGCCAAGGAGGTTCAAGAGGCCAAGGAGGAATGGGTGGCCAAGCTGGTGGTTTTGGTGGCCCTGGTGGACAAGCTAGTTTCAGTGGTCAAATGTCTGGTCCTGGTTTTGGACTTAGTGCTAGTACTGGTGCCCGAACTGCTAGCACCGGATCATCTGGTGCCTCAGCTTCTGGTAGAGCTGCAGTTAAGGCCGTTGTCTAAGTTAAGACTCAAGTGGCTTAAAATGGTTTTCTGTGGTGAAAATATCTGTGATCTTCAAGTTTCCTTTGAAAATTAAAAATCTTTATATAAACTGTTAAAAGCTGTTCAAAGGATAGATTGAAACTGTCCATTTTTGTCAATAAATTTCGTGAAAAGATATGTAATATAAAATTTCAGAATAATTTCTTTTCATTCTCAAGTATGAGTCGTTTGAATGTAATTCTTAAAATTTTCGGTGAACCTGATGATTTTCAGCTTTTTAATTTTTAAACCCATAAAACAAATATAACTTACATTATGATTTAATTTTGTTCATTGAAAATTACATTAACAAGAGACGAAAAAATTGTTAAAAAAAGTTAATTAACACCATTTGTTGGGAAAATTTTTAAATTAAATGTTACATTTATTCACTGCATGCATTCAGTCCATAATAAATAGCAATTCATTGTCAGTTCATTTTGCTTTCAAAACATGCTCTTACAGCAATTGTTTAGTATTGGTATTAGATGCTTGAGAAGATTCAATGAATTTTTCAATTTCTTTGTCTCTGTCATTCAGTTCGGAGACAGGGAAAATATCCTACTGATAAAGTCTCTGTTTTTTTCTGGTCTTACAAAGACTACGACGGATAAATATTTTCATCAATTTATTCCTCATGGCTGAAAACTCATGAAAAACAAACCATAATTAAACTGGCTCATGAACACGTGCTATCAAAAAAAATTGACAACAAAAATTGAATGAATTCATAAATTTATTATCTCAATTCATGGAACGAATTTCCAAAAACAACTCAGGATCCTGCGTGATTGCACCTCATCGCCGAGAAATGAAAATCAATGTCTCTTGTGCGACTTATTTGTCATGAAGAGACAAAAAGGGCAACAAAGTATAAAAAATAATTATGAATAACTGATTTTTGATTTAATAAATTTCCAAAGCATAAAATATAAATATCAACTTTTGAATCAAGTTTTTTCTAGAGGTATCCTTGATTAAAAGCATCCAGAAACTTGAGTTTTACTGAGGATTCTTACGAAAAGTTGCTTCCTTATTTACTCAGATTTTTTAAATAATATTTGATAAAATTCACATTTCGTTACATTTAATCCATTTACTGTCAGAGGCAAAGAGTTATAACTATTACTCTTTGGTCAGAGGTTTAAAACTTTCTGGTTGACCTATGGCTAAAATAAGCGCATTTGATCGTGAAATAGGCCATTGGTTATTCTCACTGCGTCTCAATTACAGGTTATAACTTGTTACTCCTTGTTACTACTTGTTAACGAGGTTTGGCTGTATTTACTGCTACAGCTATTCACTGCTAACATTAAAAATAAACTTTTATTAACATGAGTGGTGACATTGTTTATTGTGTTTGTCGCTCTTCAGATGGAAGTGGTTTTATGATTGGTTGTGATAATTGCGATGAATGGTATCATGGAGCTTGTATCTCTATGAACGAGCAACTTGCTATGACCTTTTTCAAATTTTACTGCCTCAAGTGTCGTGACCGTGATCCATCCTTGAAAAATCAATTTTACAAACAATCTACTGAATATAAATACACAATAACCTCTTCTGAAGTGACCAGCAAACAGGGGACTGTTCGCAAAAAGAGCCCATCACCTCAGAGGTCCAATAAAGTGACTCGTTATGAAGATACAAGATGTAATATCAAGCTTGAGAAGAGGGATTATGAGAATGAAGCCGATGATGATCAAGATGAAACTTTGAGAAAAAAGAATGATTCATCTGAAAAAAATAAACGAAAAAGTAAACTCAAGTCTAGGGAGAGCCGAAAGAAAGCGAACTCAACACCAGTTGACAACGAATGGGCGAATGAAAAAATTGATAGAGAAAGAGAGAAAGAAATCTCCAAGATTGATAAAGGTTTAAGGCAATGTTATCAATGGATGAATGAATACACCTTTTTATCGTGGCGTGGACTTATGCTTTGAGTCTAAATCTTAACCGTCCGTATTGGATAATCTGGTGTTTTGAAACCAGGTAAAGCTGAAGGCGAGACCTAGACCTTCAAAGATACTAAATATACTTGTATAAGGACAAGTTGGAGTGTGCATTGTACTGCATAAGTCAGCCATTTGCAATGCATTAAGTATAATTTTTATATCGATAGAAATAACAGTTTTATTCTTGCTGTGTAAAGACATGCAATTTAAGTTCAAATCTTGAGCAAATATACTCAAAAGCGCAATTTTAAAAATTATTAACAGTTTTATTACAAATATTATGCCTAGTAGGATTATGCCTGAAATATACAAAATGAAAAATTTTATTAATAAAAATTTGTACTATTTTTATGAATCTCCTTCTCGTGCGATTCGTTTATTGTGTAAAAAATCAGCTATTGAGAAAATTAAAATATTATGGTTACAAATCAGCGATCAAAAATGGGTTGAAAGTCGGATAAGAGTTGACAAACTATAAGATAGCCAATGCTACATAATACATTTTTACAAAAATCAGAGCCCATCGCTTATGAGGTCCAATAATGTGGCTCGTTTTGAAGATGCCAAGATTGAGAAGAGGAATTATGAAGATAAAGACGATTATGATCAAGATTAAACTTTCGAAAATGAGAATGAATAATCTGAAAATAATGAGAAATGAGAATAAAAATGAGAATAATCAAAAAAGTGAACTCAAGTCTAGATTGATCCCAAAGAGAACCGACGCAACACCAGCTGACAACGAATGGGCAAGTAAAAAACATATAGATAAAAAGAAAAGGAAATCTCTGATATTATTGTTAGATGAAGGCGAAACCTAGATCTTCGCCTCAAGACAAGTGAAAATGCTTATTGTAATGAATGAATACAAATCAGTGAATACAGGCAATTTAAGTTCAGATCCTAAACAAAAATATCCAAAAGTTCAATTTTGAAAATTCCTGAGAGTTTTATTATGAACATTCCGATTAAGATCATGCTTGACATGAAAAGTGGAAAAACTTTGTTAGTAAAAAGTTTTTACTAAACTTTTTATTATTATTTTTTAAATCTCCCTATCAATGTGATCGAAAAATAAATGATAAAATAACCAATGAGTACTTTTTGCTTGACTCAACGAGTAAATTATGTCCTGCCAGGCCCAAGTGGACAAGCTATAATACTATAAATGGCAAAAGTCTGGACCAGTGGTCCTGGTTTTGGACTTAGTGCTAGTACTGGTGCCCGAACTACTAGCACTGGATCATCTGGTGCCTCAGCCTCTGGTAGAGCTGCAGTTAAGGCCGTTGTCTAAGTTAAGACTCAAAGGGCTTAAAATGGTTTTCTGTGGTGAAAAATATCTGTGATCTTCAAGTTTCCTTTGAAAATTAAAAATCTTTATATAAAATCTGTTCAAAGGATAGATTGAAACTGTCCATTTTTGTCAATAAATTTCGTGAAAAGATATGTAATATAAACTTCGAATAATTTCTTTTCATTCTCAAGTATAATACCTTATGAGTCGATTGAATATGGCTCTTAAAATTTCATGCCAAACCTGATGATTTTCAGCTTTTTCAGTTTTAAACCCATAAAACAAATATAACTTACATTACGATTTAATTTTGTTTCAATGGAAATTATTAAGAGACAAAAATTTTGTTGAAAAAGTTAATTAACACCATTTGTCGTAAAATTTTTTTAATTAAATATTACATTTATTCACTGCATGCATTCAATTCATAATAAATAGCAATTCATTTTGTTTTCAAAACATGCTCTTACAGTATTTGAAGAGTATTGGTATTAGATGCTTGAGAAGATTCATGACTTTTTCAATTTCTTTGTCTCTATCATTCACAAATTCACTATCATTGTCAGTATGAAGACAGTGAATTATCCCATTGATAAAGTCCGTGTTTTTTCTGGTCTTGCAAAAAGACTACTACTGGGTAAATATTTTCATGAATTTATTCCTCATGGCTGGAAAACTAATGAAAAAACGAACCACAATTTAACTGGCTCAGGAAAACTGGTTAAGCAAAAAAAATTGACAAAAAAATCAATGAATTCATAAATTATTATCTCGATTCATGGAACGAATTTCCAAAAATAACTCAGGATCCTGTGCACTGCATCGCCTCATCAACGAGAAATGAAAATCAAAGGCTCTTATGCGACTTATTTGTCATGAAGAGACAAAAAGGGCAAAAAAGTATAAAATAATTATGATAAACATGAATAACTGATTTTTTGATTGAATAAGTTTACAAAGCATAAATATAAATATCAACTTTTGAATCAAGTTTTCTTACTAGAGATATCCTTGATCAAATGCACCTATGTACCTAATAGACCTATTGTTATGAACTGAAAATGACAGAAACAAAGACATTTCACAACAAACTAAACAAAATGAATGTTAGCCTCAACTTGAGAATGGCAATTTTTCATAGTTTCAGTTCATAACAATAAGTCTGATTAGATTTAAAATTGGAATAAAAATTGAAGTAAAAATTTGCAGGTCCCAACACTTCACCAAACATCTTTTTTAACTTATTTCCATTGATTCATCATGAAATTTCCCGAATCAAATCGTACCAAGTGGGTCACCTCCCTTGTAAGATTTTTAGATAATACATTGAATTGATGAAATTCACATTTCGTGACATTTAATCCATTTACTGTCAGAGGCAAAGAGTATAACTATTACCCTTTGGTCAGCTGTTTAAAACTTTCTGGTTGACCTATGGCTAAAATAAGCGCATTTGACTGTGAAATAGGCATTGGTTATTCTCACTGCATCCAAATGACAGGTTACAAGTTGTTACTACTTGTTACAGTAGTCTCTCTTTTAAGAGACAGAGAAGAAGGTCTCTTTCTATTGTCTTAGTTTCAGGGAGATCTTTTTTATGATAAACGCCATCTACTATACTTAAGATGCTTAATAATACCTCTGGTAATATAGTAGGCGGCGCTTATCAATAATTAACTGTACTCAAAGAGGAGCTACCCTTTGACATTACTTGTTAACGAGGTTTTGGGTCATTTACTGTTACTGCTTTTGACTGGTAACATTAAAAATAAACTTTTATTAACATGAGTGATGATAGACTTTACTGTGTTTGTCGCTCTAAAGATGACGGTAGGCTTATGATTGGTTGTGATAATTGCGATTATTGGTATCATGGAGCTTGTATCTCTATGAACAAGCAACTTTCTGACACCTTTGACAAATTTTACTGCATAGAGTGTCGTGATCGTGATCCATCCTTGAAAAATCAATTTCACAAACAATCTACTGATTATGTAATTTCCTCTTCTGAAGTGACCAACAAACAGGGAACAGTGAAAAATCCATTTTATAAAGAATCTTCAAAATATGTATGCACAATATCCTCTTCTGAAGTGACCGGCAAACAGGGAACAGTTCGGAAAAGGAGCCCATCACCTCAGAGGTCCAATAAAGTGATTCGTTTTGGAGATAATATCAAGCTTGAGAAGAAGGATTGTGATAATGAAACCCATGATGATCAAGACGAAACTTTGGGAAAAAAGAATGATTCATCTGAAATAAATAGTGAAGCGAACTCACCACCAACTGAAAACGAAAGGGCCAGTGATAAAATTGAAAGAGAAAGTGAGAAAGAAACCTCCAGGATTGATAAAGGTCTAAGGCAATGTTATCAATGGAAACGTGTTTATCTTAGCGTGAGCTTATGCTTTAAGTCTAGATCTTAATCGTCCGTATTGGATAATCTGGTGGTTTGAAACCCGATAAAGCTTGAGGCGAGACCTAGATCTTCAAAGGACAATTCTGCTATAAGGACAAGTTGGAATGTGCCTTGATACTGAATAAATCAGCCATTTGCAGTGCATTAAGTTTAATTTTTACATCGATAAAAATAACAGTTTTATTCTTGCTGTGTAAAGACATGCAATTTAAGTACAAATCTTGAGCAAAAATGCTCAAAAGCGCAATTTTAATATTTTTAACAGTTTTACATTGTATTACAAAGATTACAAATATTATGTATTAAGTTTATACCTGAAACAATATACAAAAATGAAAAAAATTTATTAATAAAAATCTAAACTATTGTTATGAATCTCATTCTCAATTCTAGTGCGATTCGTTGATTGTGTAAAAAATCAGCTATTACAATATTGTAAGACAATTAAAATATTTCTGGTTCAAAACAGCGATCAAAAATGAGTTGAAAGTCGGTTAAGAGTTGACAAACTATAAGATAGCCAATGCTACATAATACATTTTTACAAAAATCAGAGCCCATCACACAAGAGGTTCAATACAGCATTTCTCGATGACTTGCTTCTGCCTTTTAAATTCGGTTTGAGAAACCCCTTTGTCTAAATTCTCTGAGAACTTGACTAAACAATATGGGAACTGTCGAAACATTTTAAGAAGAGTAACTGGTTTTATGACCGGCTTAAAAATTTGTCTAAACATTTCGAGAAGCCGACCAAACATTGTGGGAACTTGTTTAAAGTCATCGAGAAATGCTGTAATGTGGCTCGTTTTGAAGATGCCAAACTTGGGACGAGGAATTATGAAATTAAAGACGATTATTTTCAATATTAAACTTTCAAAAATTAGAATATACATGAATAATCTGAAAATGATGAGAAATGCGAATAATCAAAAAGTCTAGATTGAGTCCAAAGAAAACCGATGCAACACCAGCTGACAATGAATAGGCAAGTACAGTAATCTCTCTCTTAAGTTGCATCCCTCATATTTGAACGAGAAAGAGAAATAGAAAGAGACAGAGAAGAATGTCTCTTTCTCTAGACTTAAGTTGCCTAGTAACTACTGCCGTTTGAAGGAACTTAAAAGAGTAAAAAACTGTAAAAAACATATGGATCATATAGATATAAAGAAAAGTAAATCTTCGATATTATTAATTGATGAAGGCGAAACCTAGATCATCAAAACTACTATCAAGACAAGTGAAAATGCTTATTGTAATGAATGAATCAGCTATTTGATAAGCACTAAGATAAATTTTAATATCAAAGAAAATCTGTTTTAATTGTTAATTCTTGCTGAGTGAGGACAGGCAATTTAAGTTCAGATCCTAGCCAAAAATACTCAAAATTTCAATTTTGGTAATTCCTGAGAGTTTCATTATAAATACATTGTATGCCTGAAAAACTTGAAAAGTGAAAAGTTTTTACTGCTTTTTTAATGTCACTCTCAATGTGATCGAAAAATAAATGATAAAATAACCAGTGCGTACTTTTTACTTGACTCAACGAGTAATATATGTAATGGCAGGCCCAGATGGACAAGCTATAATATTTTCAATGGCCAAATGTCTGGTCCTGGTTTTATGTCTGGTCCTGGTTTTGGACTTAGTGCTAGTACTGGTGCCCGAACTGCTAGCACCGGATCATCTGGTGCCTCAGCTTCTGGTAGAGCTGCAGTTAAGGCCGTTGTCTAAGTTAAGACTCAAAGGCCTAAAAATGGTTTTCTGTGGTGTGAAATATCTGTGACCTTTTTAATTTTTAAACTCATAACACAAACATAACTAACATGCTTGAACAACTATGATTTAATTTTGTTTCGTTGAAAATTATTACATTAATACATTAACAAGAGACAAACAATTTGATAAAAGATGTATAAGGAGAAAGTATAAGTTGAAAGACTAAAAAGCAATAAAAAAGAAAAAAACAAAATTTTGGTCAAGGGTCACCATTTTACAACTTTTAGCTCTTTAGACATTTGTTTTTACTACTGTCAAGGCTACGGACAGTTTTGTCTAAAGAGTAGCATATTTGTGACTTTTTTTAAGAGTAGCAACGGAGGGTTAAGTGGAAAAGGTGAAAGGGGAATCACTGGACAGTACTAATTGTTTAAACTGTAAAATAATGATGCAATTAAACCAAAACTTGAGTATCTCAATCAATATTTTTCAGTATGAAATTAGGTTCAAGTAAAGGAGCAAATATTGATGAATTGTTAACGGTTAAAGTACTTTCTGGTTTACCTAATAGACCGATCTTTAGCTTTAGATACACTTTCTTAACCGTGAAATAGACCATTAGTTACTCTTAATACGTCTAGCTTACAAGATACAAATTACTTGTTAACGAGGTTTGACTGTGTTTGAAGTAAGTAATAAACTCTATTAACATGAGTGAAAACATTTCTTACTGTATTTGTCGCTCTTCGGATACAAGTTTTTTTATGATTTGTTGTGATAATTGCGATGAATAGTACCATGGAGATAGTATTTCTATGACTAAGAAACTTGCTCGGACCTTTTTCAAATTTTACTGCACAAAGCGTCGTGATCGTGATCCATCCTTGAAAAATCAATTTTATAAAGAATCTTCAAAATATGTACACACAATATCCTCTTCTGAAGTGACAAGCAAACAGGGAACAGTTCGGAAAAATAGCCCAATCGCCCAGCAGTCCAATAAAGTGGCTCGTTATGAAGATGTCACCGCACCCGAGTAGAGGGACTATGAAGATAAAGACGACGATGATCAAGATGAAATTTTGACGGATAATGAAGATGAAAACGATGAAGAGTTTGATGAGTTTGATGACAATGATGATCAAGATGAAACTTTAAGAAATAAGAGTGATTCATGTAAAAAAATAATGAAAAAAGTGAACTCAAATCTAGATCAAGCCGAAGAGAAGCAAACACAACACCAGCTGACAACGAACGGACGAATGAAAAAACACATAGAGAAAGAATGATATTGATGATGGTTTGGGTCAATTTTTTCAATGGATGTTTGAATATGAATTTTTATCGTGGCGTAGGCTTATACTTTAAGTATAGAAGATCTTAATTGCCCGTGTTGGATAATCTGGTGTTTTAAACCAGGTAAAACTGTAGGCGAAACCTGGATCTTCACCACTACTATAAGGACAAGTGAAAATGTTTTTTGTACTGAATAAATCAACTATTTTCAATTCCCTAACATTAAAATAAAATTAAATTAAATTAAATTGTAAGTGAAATTCTGATTTAATAAGAATCAGTTTTAATTGTTCATTTGGTGAGAGTCTAGTTATACGGACACAGTATAATAAACAGTGCTATAGATTCAAATAATTAATCGTTTATTATCGCGCTCTAGGTTAGGTTAGGTTAGGTTAGATTAGGTTGGGCTTGGATGGTCTGGGGCCTCAATTAACGCCTTTGTTATTGTTTTGTGTCCGTATAACTAGACTGTTACCGTTCATTTTTGCGGACACCTCAAGAAAAAATAACCAAAAGTACAATTTTAAAAATTCCTGAGAGTTTTATCATCAATATTCCGAGTAAGATTCTGCTTAACTTGAAAAGTGAAAAGTAGAAAGTTTTTTACCATTTTTTGAATCTCCCTCTCTATGTTATCGAAAAGTAACTGAGTAACCAGTTTTTAGTTTTACAGTCTCTTTGACTGATGTCGGTAATTTTATATTTGTTTACAAACTCTGATTATCTTCAATTTCAGCAATTTTTATCCTTACGTCAAAGTTTTATTATTTAAATGTTTTTCTTATTAACTTAAGTGATATCAATATGGGTGAAGACACTTCTTACTGTATTTGTCGCTCTTCAGATACAAGTCGTTTTATGATTGGTTGTGATTCTTGTAATGAATGGTATCATGGAGATTGTATTTCTATTACTGAACAGCTTGCTAAGACGATAACCAAATTCTACTGCCTCATGTGTCGTGATCGTAATCCATCATTAAAGATTCAATATCACAAAGATTCTGGTTCTAAATCAACCAGCAAACAGGGGACTGTTCGAAGAAAGAAACAACCACCTTCTAAGTCCAATAAAACGGCTCGTTTTGAAGATGATACCTCACCTGAGAAGATGGATTTTGAGGATGAAAACGATGAAGAGTTTGATGACGATGATGATGGAGATGAAACTTTCAGAATTGAGAATGAATTATCTGAAAAAAATAATCGAAAAAGTAAACCAAAATCTAGACCTAGCCGAAAGAAAACAAACACAACATCATCTGACAACAAACGTGGAAGTAAAAAAACACATAGACAAAGAGAAAGAGAAAGAGATGTCTACGAAGTTGATGATGGTTTAAGGCAATGTTATGGTCCTGGATGTATCAATATAGCTCGTCGAGGCTCCAAATACTGCAGTGATAATTGTGGTATTAAATTAGCAACCAACAGGATAATAGAAATTTTACCTGAACGTATAAGGTTTTGGCAAAGTACATCATCAAGTGCTGATGTTTTCAGTAATCGAGAATTAGATGCAATTCGAACAGAAGGAGAAACAGCCAAAAGGCTTCTTGAAGAACTGGACGGTAAACAAAAAGAACTAGAAGCTATGATTGCCGAGGCCAAGAAACTACCACCAATCTCAGAAGATGAAGTAGACGAAGAGACTGGAGATGAGCTGATGACTTACTGTGTAACCTGTGGACACGAAGTTGCATCGAGAACTGCCTTGAGACACATGGAAAGATGTTTTAACAAATTTGAAAGTCAAATATCTTTTGGTGGTGTTTATAAAACAAAAGTGGAAGGAGTTTTCTGTGATGTATTCAATCCTCATCAGAAAACTTATTGTATGAGATTGAAAGTATTGTGCCCTGAACACACAAAAGAGCAAAAGATACCAGATAATGAAGTTTGTGGTTATCCTTTGGTTACTAACTGTTTCGAACTGACTGGAACATATTGCCGTCTCCCAAAAAAGAAGTGTATGAGACATTATTGTTGGGAAAAATTACGACGAGCTGAAATTGATATGGAAAAGGTTCAGAAATGGTTAAAATTAGAAGAACTATTTGAAAAGGAGCAAAAAATTCGGTACACTTTACAAAATCGTGGAGCCGTTCTTGGTTTATTGCTTCATCATACAGTGATACACGACTGATTTAGCTTTGTATACTTAAATCTATTTTCTTATTTCTGTACATATCATTTATGATCACATAGTCCTGCTGACATCTACAACAAAAATGTAAAATAAAAGTTGAAATTGAAGCATAAATTTCTAACAATTTAAATTCTTCAATAATGGAGTAAAACAATTTATTATTTTCTTTCTATGAGATGCGTTTTTTTGTTATAATCTGGTACTAGAGATGAGCAATTTTAGATTTCAGGTCTGACCGACTTTTTGGATCAAAAACTCTAAAATGCGATTAAATCAATCGATTTTTATTGCAAACAAAACATTGAAACAACATTTAAAGGGTATCAGATGTAACAATTTGGTAGAGATACGAGAAACCATAATAAACCAAAATTTTTTGTTTTAAATTGTGTCTCTTGTTTTAGTTATATCATGTTTAATCTTAACTCTCAACTAATAAATCTTGTATTCAGCTGTGAATCTTGAACACCTGAAATCTTTCCCTTGCTCAAAAAAACATAGAGCAATAAAGCATAGCCAGCATTATAAAGGTAACACAAGATGCGATCAGAGAAACTAACTTGTTCCTTATAAATATCCATATTAACATTATTGAATCACTAACAAGTTAATCAATAACTAATAAAAAGCCAACATGAAGCTCAATTTCAGTTAATTTCAAACTCATTGAAAGCAATTAGCAAAAGCACGATATCAATAAATAGCATATGATCTTTCGAGTACAAAAAGATAATATCTAACTAAAGAAAATATTGATTTCGCTCTTAAATAAGTTTCAATCAGAGGTAAGATGTTTTCCAATGTTTGAACAATTCCAATTTATTGCGATGATTTAAACTTGATAACTAATATTGAAACAAATCAAACGGAGACAGTTATCTAGTGTAATCAAGTCCAATTCACTCAGCCTCATCAAAAAATGATTATCATTAGGTTCTTGCCGTGGCTGCTTCTGAACAAACAATACACGCCATTAACAATTAAGGACTTAATGCATTTAATTATAGCTCGGTTTTATGACCTTAAGAGCTAGCAAAATTAAGGTCAATAGAATCAAGTAAACCTTGCATTCAAGCTGAATTCAAGTTTTATTTACCGGTTAATTCACAAGTCTTGTTTTACTGCTGTATTTAACGGAGAGAAGGGAATATTCATACAACCAGGAATTGAACAGGAACCGTTATTTGAATCATCGCATCAATTTTTAACTCTATCATCCACTCATTATCACACTTATTATGATTATCATTACCACTTTTATTCCTTATCAACTTGATCTTGCAGAGCAACTTCATTCACTCTAACCAGCTTAGCTTTTCAACTGTTCATTCGTTTCCACACAACCAAACCTTTCTCATCTTGAATCTTTTGTATCTTCTGTCTGTGTACCTGTCCTTACCTTACACACCATTCATATCTCACAAACAGTATTCATATTTCACCAATAATAGTCAAGTAAACCTTTGCTCAATTGAAAATTCACCTCAACTTTGGATTAAAGGACTGGATATATTGCTTTTACCGGTTTTAAGAAGGTTTATTATTATCTCCAATTGTTCTGTCAGTGAACTTGACTTTTCATTACTTTCCATCCATTTCATGACAGCTTTGAGTTAATACACTTTCAACTTGGTTCCCGGAAGAGAAGGAGAAGACGAGTGAGTAGTAAATATAGGGGAAGGTGAAGTAGTCAAAACAGAGAGGAGTAAAGCTTATATAACCTCTTCACTGTTTACCTTTTTCAGGGTTTGTGTTTTATTTACAGTTCATCAGCATTATCAAACCCGTTGACAGAAACACCGTTTGGCATCAAATTACATTTTAAAATGTTGATGTGTGCGAAATCGGCTCGTGATATGTTGATAAAAATGTCTTACAAAGGTTTTGAAATCAGAGATGAGAAAGATTTTCTCAAATGTTTACTCTCCATATTTTCTGACTACCTTGGATCTATTTTTCACGATAAAGATAATCAACAGGAGACAATTTTTCACCATTTAGCTCAAAGTAAGTAAATCAAAAGCCCAATTTAACCCCAACTCATTATCAGTCCTCTATTCATTCAATTAGCCAATACTCGTGATATTTACGTTTACGGTAAACTTTCGCTCCTATCAAGGTTATACGAAAGTAATTGCGATTCGTTCTGTATCAATTATTGATAAAAGAGTCTATTTTGAATTGATGAGCAATCAACTCAAATATTTATTTAAAACTCAATTTGCAAACCCAGAATTATTGAGGCAATAATTTGATATCTAAGGCTTCACCTAATGTGAAGTTCACTTTGACGATTATTTCATCGATTTCCATTACCGTTTAGTAATTTGAGCTTGATTGAATTGAGTTTGAGTTTGAATTTCATAATTTATATACATTGTGCTTAACCATCTATTATGATAAATTAACACCAATGTTCAACTTAATGTACAGTAAACAATCTCGAGCTGTCACGTCGTGGGATTAGCATTATGGCTATTTTGCTATAATATTTAGGTGAAATAGCTATTTTACCAATTTGATTTCGATATTTTTGATGTTTAATTTGATAACTCGTGTACTGAATTAAATATATCAGAGTCCTCTAAAAATGTTATCTAATTAAAAAACTAGCTTGATTTTTTTGTAATTCGTTACCATCACTCTGTGTCAATTAGAGTCTACTGTAGTCATCTTGTACAGTAAAATGCTTCTTGACTTTTCGTGTATTTACAGCTGACTCTGTGTAACAATTTAGATGGATTGAAAAGATTTCAAATTATCACGAAACTTCTCAGGTAATTAACTTTCTCCCGTTGTTTAAAATTTACAATACATGGGTATAATTTGGTATTTGCCATGAGAAAAATGGATTTACAATGAAATTTTGAATCCAATTGTTATCACCATTATTCAAATGAGTACATTACTCTGATGTTTTGGTAATATAAATTCACTATCCATTGTTTACTTCAATTCAACTACAATTTTTGTATATTTATAAGGTTAAGTCAATGGTTAACTTATTCTTTGAATAATTGATCATAAATTTTCAGTCAATTAATGGCGTTCCCCAAGAAACATTCATTATTCCAGTTGAGTTAAGTTTCAAGTTATAAGATTACAATTCTCGAATAATAGAATCAACCATCTTGGTCATGCAAATGATCAATGGGTTGACTTACAATGTTAGAAATAAATTGAATAACTAAAAGTTGAAAAGTCAATGCTTCAACAATATCTGGTGCATCAGCTGATCATCCTTTATGGCTGGTTCTTTCTTCGTTCAATCATCTCTTTTTCATCGTCTGTTTTAGTATTTCTAATCATTTCTTCAACAGTATCAGTAATTTCTTTATCCTTAGTTTCTGGTAACACAAATGAAACTGCAGCCCCAATTAAACCCAAAGAGGCAAACAACCCAAATGTGTATCTTAGATCAGCTTTGGCAGTCTAAAGAAGGTTCAATGGAAAGAGAAAGTTGGTGAAAAAAAATCAACTGTGATTCACTGTTAAGATCAACTTACCAATTGTGCTACAAATGGAGCTGATATTGTGGCGATTCTTGCTGCTGTTGAACAGGTTCCTACTCCAAGATGTCGTATTGATGTTGGAAAAACTTCAGGTGAATAGACGTACATCAAAAGAAAGGTTGACGAGGCGAAAAATTTTCCAACCGTGATGAGAACTGTTCTTGGAACAACATCTCTTGATGAAGTGGCTAATGGGATTATTGAAAATAAGCACATCGAGGTTGCTAAGCATAAAGTAAGAACCAATGGTCGTCGTTTAAAGGATTCAACTTTCCAGGTCATGAATGTGAGCGCTGAAACACCAGAAATGGCAAATATAGCATTATTGAGGAATATATTTCCAGACAAATCGAGTGATGTATAAGTTAATCCAAATAATGTGAAAGCCATAGTGAACCACATTACATACAAGGCACAACAGTATTTCAATAAGGTTGGATGGCGATACAAAGTGAAAATTGTTTCCTTTGCCTTGTTTGACCGTAAACTGGACTTGACATTGTCTCGAAGAGCTTCGTACTTCATTTGGAATGTTTCTTCATCCATTCTACCCTGTTTAACTGAATACTCTCGCAATACCTTTTCCGCTCTTTCATCTTGACCATTAACCAACTGCCATCGAAGAGATTCATTGACTTTGGGCATAACGATAGTGACACAAAATATTTGGAAAATAGCTGAGCCCAAAAAGATGTGTCTAAAGTTGGTAACAAAATAAGTTACCAATATCATTAAATATTCACCGCCAAACCAGATCCAATCAAAGCTAACAACAATTCGTCCACGGATCCTTGGTCCAACACTTTCAACAACTTTCAACAGGGAAAAAACGAAAATTCATCAATTTCTTTAATCTGATTAGCAGTCGTCTAAAAGTCTTATTTTTCAACAACACCAAGAGATAACTGACAGGTTGACTCACAAGTCTCATCTAATCTGAAATATACCTTACTCTTTTCTGAAAAGGTGTTATGTTCAAGTATTGAACTTAATACCTTTATGACTGATTAATGGTTATTTACTCATAAAATCAAGATGCTATTTTCAAAGTTAATTTCGTGAAAAGATTGAAAAGAAACTCACGTAAAACCAATGAAGCTAGATATCTGCCATATCCTCCGATGCCGTGAATAATTCTGACCACCGTGAACATTTCAATGGACGATGAGACAAACAAGAGTATACTGCAAATTATTTCACTAATTATGCAGCCGATTATGGCATTTTTACGTCCAAATTTATCGGATATTGTACCAATAAACGGTCCAGATACTAAATAGCCCATTTGGTAAGCTGACAATGCTAATGATCGCTGCCAATAATTTTCACAGACAAGATTCCACTAAATAATTGAAATGAAATTGTTTAGTTGCTATTGATATCAAGTCTCGGACCAGTTCTAGTTTTAGAGGAATGTGATTAAAATGGTTACAGTTTTGGTCAAGTCCAATTTTGAGGCAAACCATTCCGAGAAGATCACATAATCTCAGACTGGCCTTAAATCTCATTTCAAGATAAGCACCAATCAAGCTATAAATAGCTAATGGCGGATATTCACATTATTTTATCAAAACTGGAATCCACTCTTGTTGAATTTAACTCTTTGAACCAGATGCAACATGTTGAAGTTGATCACTAATTGTGACCTGATTTAAAGTTATCAATCAAACTTACCTCTTTGGTTACGGTTGTTCTGGTAATATTATGACCCCAAGCAGTACATTTTTCAAGATCTTTGAAGCTACAAGTATCAGATTTAATAGCAACCTAAAAGTAGATTCAATTAGATTGTGTCATTAGATAAAAGTCAATTTGAAAGATTCAACGCGAAACCCTCATTCACGCAATTAAGAAATGATTAAAGTAAACTAAATATTGTTTCTTTCTCATCACCATCAACCAGAAAAATTGGAGACAAAAATAATATCAATATAATTACCCGAAAACCAGTTGATTTTTCACACCAAAGGTCACTTTTGATAACATAATAGAGGAGACTTTGATTATTGAATGGAGCTGCCCAATAGCAGATAATCAAGAGAAACATTAATTTTCGTTGATAAGGTCCCCATGATCCAATTATATCAGCTATATGTTGAACATTTTGCTGATCATCTTTTGATTGTGATTCTTCAGGTTCTTGGTCCATCATTTGTTTCTATTATCACAACTAAAAATTAACCAAACACTAGTTGAAAAGTAAAATACAGTTCAATTAAGCCTCTTATTTCATCTGGTCTCACCTCGACTTGATACTGGTTTTTAATGTTGCAATTATTTGTTTTTACTTGTTATTCAGGCGTGTTAGTTCAACATGATACTCAATAGTTTCAGTTTCCTTTCAAATTTTATTGAATTAATAAATGTTGAATCAAACTTCTCACTATTTCCATCATCATCATCATCATCTTCCCATCTTGTTAACCTTCAATTTTGTCGGTTCCTTTGCTTCTTCTGTATACATTCATTTTATCTATTAAATCATCAACCAAATGGACTTTTATTCCGCTTGTTTGACCAGATCTAATTGTTTAACTTAAACCAAACAGTTAACTCTTGAATTGCTGCAATTGTCAATTGAAACAAATTCACATATTAACAAATTAGCATGAGTAACCGACCAAATTGAAATGTCCTTAACCACAAATAACCATAAATGTAAACCCACGAGTTTTGTAATCAAGTTCAAGTTTCTCCTTAATTTACCATTTATCAAGGATAATGTTTGAATTTATAGCAACCGTTTTCCATGTTAAAAATACAACAATCAATCGATATCAGATCAGTTCATGAATTTCATGTTTTCAGTTTACAATTGTTGTGAAAACAAAATAATTGATCATGTTATTTTGGTTACCTTTTCCTCTAGTTTGATTAGTCGATCAAGATTTTGATGTACTTGTGCCTCATCCACTTTCAACCATTTATCTTCATATTTTGAATTACTAAACATGATAACCTTCAATTGGTTTCATTTTCCATCTCTGAGTAATTCATTAATGAGCGAAGACAATCTAATTTTATTCATCTTTCAAGCATAATCTTTAAACTGTAAATGAAAATCTTTAATAACTGGCTAAAATTGATTTTAATTTACTTTTTCTTCTTTTCTTTCTCTTCTCAGGTATTCCTTATACACTTGAGGGTAAATCAAAGCTCAAGAAGGTTCATGAAAGGAAGGAGGACCACAATTCTGACTGTGATGAAACTGGTGAAAAGCGTCAATCATCTGTTTCAAATGGTAAATTATTGGAGCCGGAAAAAGAGTCCGATGACACCAGTTTTGGGGAGTTGACAATCTCGTTTGATTTAACAAGCCTCTCGTATAACTGTAGCATTATTGGCAACTCAAGTCATGTAATCTTCTTGGAGACCAGATCTGTTTACTCTCTTAATGATGATATATTGTGTAAATATATTTATTATCGAACTGACCAGAGTACGGACAATGGAGCTGATGAATCAGTTACTAGTGATAAAGATGGAAAGCATGATAGAATTGAAATTCATGCATTTACGGACGGCAATGAAGGATCTCATCAAGGATCATTGGTTTCCAGTTTACCCGTTTTAAATAATCAATCCATGAGCTGCAATGAATCAATACTGAAAACTTTATTGATTTCAAAATCAAATTTCAATGTTGAAACTGGTCAAAATTATTGTTTCCTGTATATAGATTCCAATAGATCTGTTTTAGGTAAAAGTGGACCTTTCCAATTCAGTTCACAGCCTTCAAGTCAAATACCAGAGCTTTATAATGCAGCTGATTCAGACGATGATGGTTTTGTTATTGTTGATTCTTGATTTCAATCATAATTTTAATTCTAGTAGCCTTAATAGAGAGCAATCAATTCTTTAATCTTCTTTTAATTATCATGTTATTTGAAAGGTCTTAGAGATTTTAAAGATGGCCTTTTCCATCCATTATAATATTTATTCATCGTGTTTACCTTTTTCCCCATTAAACTTTACCTTGTGTTATTTTTTACCTCCGATTCAAATCAACGGTTGATCGATTCAATTTTTATCTTATTATCGATAAACAAACATCTTTATATTGCTAGAAAGATGTTAAAACTCAAACATTTAATATTCTAGCGTGTGATTCGTTTGAGTAAAAAATCAGCAATTAAGACATATCAGGAAAATTATTTCTGGTTATATAATAGTGATCACTGATATATCAAAATGAGCCCATCACCTCCGAAGTCCATTAAAGTGGCTCGTTTTGAAGATAAAGAGAAAATGCAATCTCCGAAATTATTAATTGATGAAGGTGAAACCTAATAATAAGGCTTTTAATATAATGAAAATCTGTTTTGATTTTTAATTCTTGCTGAGTAGAGACATGCAATTAAGTTCAGATCTAAGCCAAAAAATAACCAAAAGTCCGATTTTAAAAATTCCTGAGAGTTTCATGCTAAATATGCCTGAAAATAAAAGTAAAAAACTTTGTTAGTGAAAAGTTTTTACCATTTTTTTAATATCACTCTCAATGTGATCAATTAATAGATGTCCTATCAAGCCCTGGTGGACAAGCTAGTTTCAATGGTCAAATTTTTGGCCTTGGTTTGGACTTAGTGCTAGTATTGGTGCCCGAACTACTAGCACCGGATCATCTGGTGCCTCAGCCTCTGGTAGAGCTGCAGTTAAGGCCGTTGTCTAAGTGAAGACTCAAAGGGCTTAAAATGGTTTTCTGTGGTGAAAAATATCTGTGATCGTCAAGTTTCAAGGGAAAAGGGTAGAGGAGAATCACTGGACTGTATTAATCGTTTAAGCTGTAAAATAATGATTTGCTTGTATCAAAATTTAAATATCTCAATGTTTTTTCACTATGAAATCAGGTTCAAGCGTATGAGCAAATAGTGATGAATTATTAACAGCTAAAGTAATTTTACCATATTAATTATCGAAATATAATTACTGTCATAGGTTTAAAATTTTCTGGTTTACCTAACAGACCTACCTTTAGCTAAGAAACACCTACTTAACCGTGAAATAGACCATTGGTTACTCTCACTACGTCTAACTTACAAGAAACTAATTACTTGTTAACGAGATGTTAACTTGTTGACTGTGTTTAAAATAAACAATAAACTTTTATTAAAATGAGTGAAGACATTGCTTATTGTATTTGTCGCTCTTCAGATATAAGTCGATTTATGATTTGTTGTGATAATTGCGATGAATGGTATCATGGAGATTGTATTTCTATGACTAAGGAACGCGCTTTTACCTTTTTAAAATTTTACTGCAGTAAGTGTCGTGATCGTGATCCATCCTTGAAAAATCAACTTGTTAAAGAATCTAAAAAATATGTGGTATACACAATATCCTCTTCTGAAGTGACCAGCAAATAGGGAACAGTTCGGAAAAAGAGCCCATCACCTCAGAGGTCTAATAAAGTGGCTCGTTATGAAGATGATGCAGCACCTGAGAAGAGGAATTATGAAGATAAAGACGACGATGATAAAGATGAAACTTCAATAGATAAGAATAATTCATGTGAAAAAAATAATGAAAAAAGTGAACTCAAATCTAGATCAAGCCGAAAAGAAGCAAACACAACACCAGCTGACAACGAACGGACCAATGAAAAAACACATAAAGACAGAGAGGAAGAAATCTCCGAGATTGATGATGGTTTGGGTCAATTTTTTCAATGGATGTTTGAATATGAATTTTTATCGTGGCGTAGTCTTGTACTTTAAGTATAGAAGATCTTAATTGCCCGTGTTGGATAATCTGGTGTTTTTAAACCAGGTAAAACTGAAGGCGAATCCTAAATCTTCACCACTACTATTACAGTATTTCCTTGAATTTTTTGCTTTTTTCAAGTGCTGACATCTATGTCAACTACAGGGGGGAATAATTCAATTTTACAGTTAGTCTATTCTAACGATTCCCCCTTAAGGGAAAAGGGTAGAGGGGAATCACTGGACTGCATAAATTGTTTAAATTGTAAAATAATGATTTGCTTGAATCAAAATATAAATATCAATCAATGTTTTTTCACTATAAAATTAGGTTCAGGCGTAAGAGCAAATGTTGATGAATTATTAACAGCTAAAGTAATTTTATCATATTAATTATCGAAATATAAATACTGTCAGAGGTTTACCTAATAGACTCTTAAAATAGAATAGAATGATCTTTAGCTAAGAAACACCTTCTTGACCGTGAAATAGACCATAAGTTACTCTCACTACGTCGAACTTATAAGATACAAATTACTTGTTGACTGTGTTTAAAATAAACAATAAACTTTTATTAAAATGAGTGAAGACAATGCTTATTGTATTTGTCGCTCTTCAGATATTAGTCGATTTATGATTTGTTGTGATAATTGCGATGAATGGTATCATGGAGATTGTATTTCTATTACTGAACAACTTGCTAAGACGATGACCAAATTCTACTGCCTTATATGTCGTGATCGTAATCCATCTTTAAAAATTCAATATCACAGTGTAGTCCTAAATACTGTAGCATCTAGTCCTAAACCCACCAGCAAACATGGAACTGTTCGGAAAAAGAGCCCATCACCTCTGAGGTCCAATAAAGTGGCTCGTCATGAAGATGTCACTCCATCTGAGGAAAGGGATTGTAAAGATAAAGACGACGATCATCAAGATGAAACTTTAAGAAATAAGACTGATTCATGTGAAAAAAATAACCAAAAAAGTGAAATCAAATCTAGATCAAGCCGAAGAGAAGCAAACACAACACCAGCTGACAACGAACGGACGAATGAAAAAACACATAGAGAAAGAAAGGAAGAAATCTCCGAGATTGATGATGGTTTGGGTCAATGTTTGCGATGGATGTTTGAATATGAATTTTTATCGTGGCGCAGGCTTATACTTTAAGTATAGAAGATCTTAATTGCCCGTGTTGGATAATCTGGTGTTTTGGAACTGAAGGCGAAACCTGAATCTTCACCACTACTATAAGGACAAGTTAAAATGTTTTGTTGTACTGACTAAATCAACTATTTGCAATTCCCTAACATTAAAATAAAAAAAATTAAATTGTAAGTGAAATTTTGATATCAATAAGAATCAGCTTTAATTGTTCATTTTTGCTGTGAGATGACATGCAATTTAAGTTAAGACCTCAAGAAAAAATATCCAAAAGTAAAATTTTAACAATTTCTGAGAGTTTTATCATAAATGTTCCGAGTTAGATTATGCTCAACTTGAAAAGTGAAAAACCTTTGTCAGTAGAAAGTTTTACCATTTTTTGAATCTCCCTCTCTATGTTATCGAAAAGTAACTGAGTAACCAGTTTTTAAAGTCTGTTTGACTGGTTTCGGTAATTTTACATTTGTTTACAAACTCTGTTTATCTTCAATTTCGGCAGTTTTTATCCTTACGTCAAAGTTTTATTATTTAAATGTTTTTCTTATTAACTTAAGTGATATCAACATGGGTGAAGACACTTCTTACTGTATTTGTCGCTCTTCAGATACAAGTCGTTTTATGATTGGTTGTGATTCTTGTAATGAATGGTATCATGGAGATTGTATTTCTATTACTGAACAGCTTGCTAAGACGATAACCAAGTTCTATTGCCTCATGTGTCGTGATGCTAATCCATCCTTAAAAATTCAATATCACAAAGATTCTGGCTCTAAATCAACTAGCAAACAGGGGACTGTTCGAAAAAAGAAACAACCAACTTCTAAGTCCAATAAAACGGCTCGTTTTGAAGATGATGCCTCACCAGAGAAGATGGATTTTGAGGATGAAAACGATGAAGAGTTTGATGACGATGATGATGGAGATGAAACTTTCAGAATTGAGAATGAATTATCTGAAAAAAATAATCGAAAAAGTAAACCAAAATCTAGACCTAGCCGAAAGAAAACAAATACAACATCATCTGACAACAAACGTGGAAGTAAAAAAACACATAGACAAAGAGAAAGAGAAAGAGATGTCTACGAAGTTGATGATGGTTTAAGGCAATGTTATGGTCCTGGATGTATCAATATAGCTCGTCGAGGCTCCAAATACTGCAGTGATAATTGTGGTATCAAATTAGCAACCAACAGGATAATAGAAATTTTACCTGAACGTATAAGGTTTTGGCAAAGTACACCATCAAGTGCTGATGTTTTCAGTAATCGAGAATTAGATGCAATTCGAACAGAAGGAGAAACAGCCAAAAGGCTTCTTGAAGAACTGGACGGTAAACAAAAAGAACTAGAAGCTATGATTGCCGAGGCCAAGAAACTACCACCAATCTCAGAAGATGAAGTAGACGAAGAGACTGGAGATGAGCTGATGACTTACTGTGTAACCTGTGGACATGAAGTTGCATCGAGAACTGCTTTGAGACACATGGAAAGATGTTTTGAACATATTGCCGTCTCCCAAAAAAGAAGTGTATGAGACATTATTGTTGGGAAAAATTACGACGAGCTGAAATTGATCCTCATCAGAAAACTTATTGTATGAGATTGAAAGTATTGTGCCCTGAACACACAAAAGAGCAAAAGATACCAGATAATGAAGTTTGTTCTTGGTTTATTGCTTCATCATACAGTGATAATGGACTGATTTAGCTTTGTATACTTAAATCTATTTTCTTATTTCTGTACATATCATTTATGATTAAATATTCATGCTGATGCATATTCATAATTCATCATTGTCAATAACAAAAATGTAAAATAAAAAGTTAAAATTGAAGGAGAAATTTCTAACAATTTAAATTCTTTAATAATGGAGTAAAACAATTTATTATTTTCTTTCTATGAGATGTGTTTTTTGTTATAATCTGGTACTTCAGATAACTTTTATGTAAGAAAAACAGAAAGAAACGAATTTAATTAAAGATAGAGAATATGAAATACTGCCAAAGATGGCTTAGCCACGGAACAGAATAAACAATTCAGCTCTGCCAAGATTTTCCAGCTGAGCTTTAAGTTATGTACCAATTAATCAAAATCGTTTGAGAAACTCTTCAGCAGTAATTCTAGCTCTTGCATTGATGGCCAATTTCATTTCATTGATTTCTTTATCAATTTCTTCCATAAAGTGTATAATAAAATCGATTATTTTGAATCTGTTCATATATTCAGTGTGAATATTGGTAACAAGAAAAGATATATCATAACCGGTAGGAGGTTGCTGTTGAGGATTTGTCTTCTCATCTAAAATAGTACTTCTTGTATCGCTTAAAGAGACAGGTTTACGCCTTAAAATAACAAATTTATCCGCTCGCATCATTAAAAAACGGGTGAATTTATGGACAAGGATCCTTTCAATATCGTCCGCTTGTTTAACTGCAATGGAGATCCGGACAGAGTTTATACTAGACTCAATTAACACTCTTTCCTTGTCATTACGACTGATTACCACTGGATTAAGAAGTAATTCCTTGTTACCACGAACTTCTACCTCAGGTTTATTATGTCTTTCGACAACTTGTGAATTAAAATCGGTCAAACAAAAAGCAGCCTCCAATGTTTTCCGAACTGCAGCAAGATATGGGCGAAGGGTGGCAGACATTTTCACTGAGCAATTGGCTTCAATTTAAGTAATATATTTCACTTTATGGACCACCTTGATTACCGGACAGGAATGAAACTTCAACGGATGTATTTGAAGACAAAAAATTTGGCAACAAACAAAGTCAACACAAATGGAAAAGACCGAAATGAAGAAGTGGACACCAGATGATAGTGTAAGATGATCAAGGAATGTTACAAACCTATGTATGGTGAAAACATAAACAGATTACAGTTAATTACTGGTCGAAATTTTGATCAATGATTTCTTAAAAAGATCAATTACAATCGAAACTAAATGGGCTTACCTTATTCAATAACCGGATGAGAAGATATTATGGCAAATGATTCTAATCATTATTGCAATGAATTACAAACATGGATTGACTCTCATCTCTTTCTGTCTTTCTTGACTCTCTTTCTCTTTCTTTTTCCCTTTCTGACTCCCCTTCTCTATATGTCTCTATTTCTTTCTACTTTTCATTTTTCTGTGTGTATGAGTTACCTGGAAGTAGGTGGGTCTGTTTCATCTTTGATTGTTAATTACTATTAACATCCCTTCTTCATCTATGATCATCGGCAATATTTTTACTTAGAACAGTTCAATTCATAAGATAATATTAAGATTATTTCATGACCAAGATGATAGTGGTGACCAATTTTTAATTTTGAGCTGTTGAAGCATCTATTTTCATGCTGTTTGTTTATGTTTACAACCTTCACTCCTCTCCACATCATCTGTCAATATTTCCTATTTGGACCTTACGTACTCAGAATGAATCTTGATTGTTACATGATTAAACTAACCATATCACTCTGAGATAAGGAGACATCCGAACAAATTAAAGGTAACATACCTTATTTGGTTTATAATGTTAGCTGGCGGATTGGCAATTCAGCTGTGTATTAATCAACTCTGGGTGTTTTTTCGCCATACTAGCTATTTTATTTAATTTATGTGCATTATGGCTAAAATTGCCAAAAATTATATCGTTTATTAATAATTTCTAATGTTTATTTTTTCAAAATGGCAGGATTCCAGTGGAAAAATTTGATGGTTCCAACTTATTGGTGGACCACGATGACTGACTTTACACAATTCAAAGCAATAAACTCTAAATTAAAGAAAAGATTTCTTTTAAGGAAACCTAATTTTTCAGAAGCTAGTCAACAATTCAGTGACCTGAGTCAAGATTTTAAAGAATTCAAAGTAAGTTTCAAAGCCTTGTATCAGCCAGAATCATCTGCTAATGTTTACGTTTTTATTTCAGTTATTCGCTGGTTATTGTTCTCTGGCATCAGCGCGATGTGAACATTCCCTTGGAAATGTTAATATGGAATTACAAGCGCTTCTTCAAGCTGCTCGCCATTTTGCTGAAGGAAAAGAAATAAACGCTGCCATATCAGCTTATCGTCACGCATTACTTATCTCAGCTGAAGCCAATTTGCCTTACATTTACATTGAACTGGCTCGTTTATATGAGAAGCATCGTCGTTTCAATGAAGCAGCTATTGTTTATGAAGAAGCATCAATGTTTAGAGACGCAGCAAATTGTTTCATGGACGCTCATCTTTACGATAAGGCATTGAGCTGCTTTAATAAACTGGACAAGCAGAAGTTAAAAGTTAATGATGAAATATCTATTTTTTTGTTGAAGCTTTTTCTTTATGATGTTCGTCGTTTATCATTAGAATTTCCAGTAGTCAATTGTACCTGTGAAGATGATGACATAATCTCTTTAAATATTCTATTAGAATCACTATTCTATTACGAAACGGAGCAAAGGGAAGGTGTGGAGATTAAGAATAATATAATCTCAAAATTAAATCCATTCTTGGATGGTAGACAAAAAGAGCTACTTCTTGCGCTAGCAGATCCCAGAGAAACAGATGAATTGTCTTATGGAATGGAAAACTGGAAAATCTAAAAACGAATTAAAATCTCCCAACCATGTCATTTACTATCTATACAAGGAAAGGCACAAATAAGATATGAAATATCATGGTAATTAATACAAAATAATTATAACAAACGAAGCAATACAAATTTATTTGTATCACGACGCTTAGACGTGAATCAACATCTCTACCTTGAACCAAAGATGTTTTATATATTTATCTTACCATAGTATGTTTATAAATAATAAAATTTAGTTTATTTTACCTATTTTAGACTAGATTTTACATTTAAAAAATACATAAAAAATGACATTAAGATTCATTGTGAAAGTAACATATCCCAACGATGGCAGACATTTTATTACTGAACAATTTCCTGAAATTTCGTCAAAATTCCCCGGAAATTGCATTTTATTTGTAAAAAAAATCTATAAACAAATAAATTTAAGTGATTTAAGAGGTTACATTAAATTCGTGATCAATTAAACCAAGAAATTAATATGACAATAGACGAAATAATCAATGAAGGCTACATTATCATCTTACCCTTGAAATGGTTAAGAAACATCGGTTTACAAAATTGTTATAGCACTTAAAACAATCAATCAAAGATGTTAAACAGCAAGAATTATCATCATTAATGTTAATTTTTAACTATGATAAATCAAACACCTAAAGAAGTTGACTGTTTTTGACAATTTTGAAGTTGCAACAATTACTTTTAAATTAAATTTTCGCCTTTCTAATTATTCACCTTAACCAAGTGTTTATTATATTCCACCTCACGGATCAACCAAGAGTCCATTAACCTGAGTTGATTGGATTTCAAATAGAGCAATGAAATTAACGATCAACTAACTCTATTGTTATTCAAAGTTTATCTAGCAAATTATAAAAAGAGAAAGATTTAAATTGAAAATTAAATGGAAATGATTAGTAAAGATAATCAGGGCTAACCTGTTAATTACAATTGACTCGAAAAGTGGAGAGAAATGTTAATAAAGTGAAGGTGAACAATAAATTAATCTTTAACAATATAAGATGAAAATTCCCATTGACTTGTCCTCATCAACACAATATCATCTTATAATCGAAGGTTGAAGCAACTAATGAACGGAAAAGCCGCTCTCATCTGATGATATTAATATTCGTGACTCAGTTCGGTTACAGCTGATAAATCGTGCCTCTTCCACCCTCTCATTGAACAACAGCAACAAAAAAGAAACCATCTTTTCTTTTCATCCGTTTAGCCTTTCCAATGCTCTGTGTAATCGATTTCGCATTTTACAAGATGAATTTTCAATCCATAGCCTCGAGTAATTATCACTTGTTAGATGAACAGGTGATCAAATGGTTGCTGTTACCTCTTTATTTTAAAAGCCCAATTAACCACTCTGGACTTGTAGCAAATGTTTCCATTGACCATTACTAAGCATTACTTTATCCCTCCCCAAAAATCGTCATCTCATCAGCGCCTTCCCTTCCTTTGTGCACTTTCACATAATGTTTTCAGGATAAATTTTTCAGTTCATCATGATTAACCAAAATTTTGTACTGAGTTAAGGTTTCCAGAAATCGGCTAATCAACCATTTCAAATTTTATGCACAAGTGATTTACATTGTTGATTAACTAGTTGAACAGTGAACAAAATTGCCAAGTGACCAACTGACCCTTTCATAATTAATCAATATTGTGTTAAACAGCAATTAATTTGCCTAATCGTGATATTTGCTTGTACACTTTTCAACTGCATCTTTAATTTTGAATATTTTCAATTAATTTGAAAAATGTTCCTGTCCTTTGAAGCTTGATTTTACTAAATACCATTTTAGTAAATTTGGTTTTCACTTTTAATTTTTATCCATTCTCTTGAACGATAACGTTAAATTGCTTCAATTATCATGGATGATAGTTTGTTAAAGTCAACAGCCAGTGAGAAGACAATTGTTGACGAGAATAACAATGTTGTAAAAAGTAATCTGGTTACATGTAAATCACTTGAAACTGGCCTTAATACCAAAGGGATTCTTCGCTCTGGATCACCAAGTCGGGTTAAGCGAAAAGTTTTCATATCACCTTTATTTGAAGTTATTCCAGATGCATGGGAAGCCAAATCTATTCCAAGTATTCCTTGTCCCAGTCCATTACGGAAATGTGCCTCACCATTAAGCCTCTTTTATCGTTTATCACCAGGAAATGGAGCTGACTTCTTTAGCCGTACATTTGATTCACCAGGTAAAAGTGGATTGAATACGATGAGAGATGATAAAAGTGGAAATAGTTTCGCCAATAGACTGTATGGAGCAAACTCCTTTGAATCATTGGTACGCAAGGTTGAACAGGAATCCTCAGTCAAGTCAACCAAGAAAACATGTGAAACAGAAAGTGTTCCCAATACTATTAATAATAATAGCAATAACAATCATAAACGTAAGGTTACCTTTGAGACTGTGCTGAAACCATCGTCACACCATAGTCAACAAAATCGTTTCCAGCAGCAACCACAGCAACATCATCATCCTCATCTTCAACAGCAAAATAATAGTTTACCGCAACAACAGCAACAACATCAGGATCAAACAAAGGTTTCCCAGGTAAAATCAGCTGTAGTTCGAAGTACAACTATAAGAAAAGTTCGCCATTCATCTGGAAACGTTAAACCAACAATCAAAATGGATCATGAAAGTTTCACCCGAAGTCAAGCTTCGAATCGATATGAAGCAAATCCGATAAACTTTAAACCCAAAGAACCGGTAAGATTTTTACATTTCAGTTACTCTTTTTTTGCCTTCTCAAGCCTTTCTTATCTCAGTTGAAAAATCCAATCAAATTACTTTCACCAAGTAACCAGTAAACGTTGATTACAATTAACCTTGACTTCGACCTTTTATCCCTTCTGTGAATGGTGAAATGAATGGGAGTGATGATCCGTGTTGATTTACATATGATTAAATGATTGAATTTGTTCACATTTTTGTAATCAACTTGATGATTAAACTCTCCTTGTTTATCTTCATTTGATGCATGATAGTTTTTTTAAGTATTTTGAGACTCTAGGAACAAATTTCAATATTTGTGACGACTGTATTGCACTTTTCTGTCCAATAATCAAAGTTAACCCAAGGTTACAATCCAAATAGATGCAGATGAAAAGGTGATGATTGTTTTGATTTCTTCATTTTTTGACAGCCTTTGATTGATTCTTACCAGATTGTCTCAAGCTATTCACAAAGAAAAGCCAGTTTTCCAATTTTCTTATCCAAGGCCAGGTAATCTTTACAAAAGAATCAATCTGACAATTGTTTAACACCAAGAATTGTTGTTTGAATTAGGTTTACTTTCTTAGTTCTTCCACTGTCTGTTGTAGACTGATATAACGTGGATACCAGAATTATTCAAGGCATGTCATCTACTCGTTGGGCTGGGTCGTTCACTCTTTTTTCCCTGTCTTTTTGCCTTTATCGTTATCTTCCATTTTGTCCTCTTTTCTTCTTTGTTCCTCTCCTTTCAGTCTTACAATTTTTCTTCTTCACTTTTAGCCGCAATTTTTAACCAACTCTATTACCTTCATCACCAGATAAACACTTTTTCACCTTCACTTGAGAATCAGTTTTTTTTCAACTCTATTTTTCACCATTTGCTACCTTTCTTTATGACTCTTTACTCCTTCTTTGCCATCATTCTTTGTCTTTTTTCTGTCAATTTCAACACTTTTCCCTCTTCTTTGACTTTCTCCTCTTCGCTCTTCCACTTGTTTGTTTGCCCCTTCATTTTTGGTTCAGGTAATAAATTGACGTCAACATCATCTTCATTTCATAATCTTGCTAGTCCATCGTAAAGGTTAATATGAAAGAGAAGAGTTTACTCTTTGATTTAATATTAGCCTGATATTATCTGGTTACATTGGTTATTCCACTTGATAGATACTCAATCCACCTTGTTCAGCCATCGAATTGATTATCATGCTTTATTCCAGTGTTAAGAACCACTTTTTAAAAGCGTTTACAATGTATCATACAGAAGTCTTGGTTGTGAAGAAAGATCAGTGATAAGACAGCGAGTCAAAACATGAAGATAAAGCATTTTCCCTCGCCTCATTAATTTCCTTGAAGACATCTTTCCTGTTACCTGTGTAGAAATACAAGATATTCATTTGAGTAGATGAAATGACAAGATTCGATGAACATGGAGACTAATTTCTTCCCATTTCATGTCATACAAGTGTAATTATATTTATTACTCACCTAAAAAAAGAGACATTCAATTGTATTCCGTGCAGTTCCAAGCAATCACATTGTCCATTACATTTTCACCCTGATTTGATCCAAATTCAAACTATAGCTGAATCATTTCAATATTATCAAATAGTCATCATAGTTAAATTGATATTTTATCACAAATAAACAATTGATTGCAAGGATAATCATACCAGACAATTGAAATCTCCCCTTTGCTCCAAAAAAACCATAGAGTCATAAAGCATAGCCAGCATTATAAAGGTAACACAAGATGCGATCAGGAAAAACTAATTTATTCCCTATAAATATCCATATTAACATTATTGAATCACTAAGTTGAGTTCTGAGAGAGCAAAAATTAATCAATAACTAATAAAAAAGCCAACATGAAACGTAATTTCAATTAAAAAACACATTGAAAGCATTACGATATCTATAAATAGTATCTGATCTTTCGAGTACAAAAAGATAATATTTGACTCAAGAAAAAGATTGATTTCGCTTTTAAATAATCTTTAATCAGAGGTAAGATGTTTAATAATTTCAGTCAGAATTTTGATTCTAGTAACCTTATTAGAGTTTAATCAATTCTTTAATCTTCTTTTGCTTTGATATCATGTCATTTGAAAGGTCTTCTTTTGTTGTTAAAGGGTGAATGACTAACTCGGATTTGTGATTTTGTATTACGTGGTTCTTGTTTATGCTTAATGCAGGTATTATTTCATTTCTATTGAATGGTTGACCCTAAACCAGATGACCAATAGACCATTGATGATGGTGTTCATTTAAAGATAGCCTTTTCCATCTATTATAATAATATTTATTCATCGTGTTTACTTTTCTTTCCACTAAACTTACCTTGTGTTATTTTTTACCTTCATTTTCTCCAATTCAAATGAACGGTTGATCGATTCAATTTTTATCTATTGATTCAGATCACTTGTTAAAGTCTATTCTGTTACTGTTGACATTGTTTTACACTGACTGAGTTGATCAAAACAGGTAAATAGCCATTATCTGATGAGTCTTGTAAACTTCCGCTCCTAAGTTTATGTTCATGGCAAAGTCAAAGAAGTATCTTGATTAAAGCGATTAACAAACATCTTCATATTGATAGAAAGATGTTAAAAATCAAACATTTCACATTCTAGTGTGATTTGTTTCTTTGAGTAAAAAGCAGCAATTAAGACATATCAGGAAAATTGTTTCTGGTTGTATAACAGCGATCAAAAATGGGTTCAAAGCCGGATAAGAATGACAAACTATTAGATAGCAACTGCTTTACCATGTTACCAGAAAAAATGGTAAAGTCAGAATACTTGAGCTCCATCAACCTTTTACACAACAGGCACCAAAAATTGTGAGTTTTTTGACTTTCTCCTAAAAACAGAATGTTAACCTTAATAGGAACATTGGAAAGAGAAATGTTGATTTTAATGATTTAACTGTTAATTACATTGTTAAATCTCCCACGTCAAGATAGACACAAGAACAAAATAATTACCCTTTACACTTTTCTTGAGGGAAAGTCAAGTCTGATGAAAACCAGAAAACGAGATTCAACCCGAATAACACAATAGATGCAGTTTCAATGATCAACAAAATAGTCAGAGTAATACTTGAGTCAAGACTCAATTAAAAATGTACCAAAATAGGTAATTTAGGTACCAAAGGTTTAACAGATAGTTGATAATTTTTACTTCAAAACAAAAATTGAGTCAAATCCAATTGGAAGATCGTTACTTAGCGACTGTAAAATAAGCTTCAAAATTGTTATGAAAAACAGAAGCGCAAAAAATTGAAAAATTTGCTGATTAGTTTGAACAAAATATCACGCCAATGTTAAAATAATTTGTTTCACTCTACAATTTACTAATAGCATAAACAATTGCCTTTTTAAAGTCATTTACCAGAAAAAATCTAACCTGTTTTTTTGCTTCCAAATAAAACAAAGAACCAAGTTTCCAAAAATGATCAGATAACCAGACAAATCTTGAATGTTGATAAACTGCAGGAAAAAAGGTTAGGTTTTTATGGCTCACACAAAATATTAACTAAATAAACTAACAATAAAACTAATTATCTAATGATGATAGTACAAAGAAATGAACAAATTAACCTTTTCCCTGGTTAATTTGTATCATCACTAAATCAACTCTGTCTATGAAATTATGATCAACTGACCAGCAACCAAGTATTTTTAGCCAAACCAATGACAGTAATTGATGGCAGCAATTACAGTCAATATTCCCAAAATGAGACTAAATTGGCTTAGCTTTTTGTCCTATGTCACTCAATGATTTTAATTAATTAATGATCAAATTGCTACAAATTTTATAATTTTTGTTAATTTATCGTCATTGAGTCCGATTAACACTGAATTTTAATTATAATTCGGTTAAATTTTGTAAATTTTTTGAAAAAAACAACGTTATTTAATTAGTAACCTTGACAACGTCTCATTTTGAGATAGTCTCATTTTGGGAATATTGACTGTAGTACAAAAAATAAGTCAACAGTTGAAACTTAAACACATCAACAATTAGATGAATCAATATCCTAAATCTTTACAAACAATTGCATCCTTTAAACAGTCAATCATTAGGCTAATCTTTACAATCAGCATAAATTAGCCTAACCTGACCAATGACAATCTAAATGGTTAAATCTATGGGCATTTATTGAAAAGCAAGAATTGAAATTACTGCTAAAAGATGAACCTTCAATTTACAATATTTATTACTTTCAGTTACCAAGCAATAGTAAACATTGAGAGCTAACTAACAATTAAACGTTTATTAATCTTAAGGTTCAATATTTAATCAAATTGCCGCAAAAGCATCGGAATCAATCTTTATTTACAATTTGTATTACAATATTTCTAATAACCTTTAGCATGCAATCTTTTAATTCTTGTCCCAAGCTGCACATTTCAATGTATACCCATACTTGATCCATTATGATTATTATTTAAGAAGTGTTAATAATAATCATTTCAATCAATTTGAACAGTTGAGAGATGAAAATAGCGAAGCTTGATTGATAATGTTGCCCTTCAAATTGTAGCAATGAATTAATAAAATTAAAACAAATTGTCTGTTTCCTTTACCATCATTATGATTGTGATTGTAATGTACATTACTTACTATTTTTAGTCACTATCTGTATTAACTCTTAATAGTCACAATAATGTTAAAGTATTACATTTACTTTGACCTTAATGATAAACGTTAACTGGGTCCAGTTTTGATTGTATAATTGTCTGTTCAAGTTTACCAATAATCGTATTAAATGATTTTCATGAGAATCCAAATGATTGAAATAAACAGCATCAATTGATGATTATTATTTCAAATCAATTAACTGTCACTCAATTGATTCTTAAACTGTGTTATTCATTTTTTTCAATTTCTCTTCAATCGATTCAGTAAATATTTAGTCTTGCAAACAATTAGTTAAATTATAGTCTAACTTGTCGCTGTTAATATTGATTGTTTCTTGTCTTGATTCACAGTAAAACCATACAAATGTTTCAACGAAATATTTAATCATGGAATTCAACCTTTTGATATTAAACACTGAAATCAATATTCAGAATTGATTTTACAAAAAGTAAATCAATAACAAACTGTAACCAAGTCTAACATTTAATTATTTCAAGTAAACTGTAAATTATAATTTCTGTACAATGTGTTAGAGTCAATCAATAAGCAATATTGATGAATTTAGAGATTGCTTGAAATGAAAAATACTCAGGTGTAAAACAAGAAGCTACTGGTGAAATTGAATCCGTAAATTATCAGCAAATTGATGAGATTTGAAAAATGTAAACTTTGATATTTGGGAAAATCAATTGTTTAAGGTTTGAATGAAATGAAATTGTTGAATTTTGTTGATTAACTGTTAAATTGTGGATAAATTGTTGCCGGATGTTCAACAAATTGGTGCTACACAGTTACCAAGTAAAATTGGGTAAACTGTTTACCCAAATGTTGACAAACGTTTGAATAAAACGCATCTGACAATATTTAGACACAATCGTAATGCTATTAAATAAAGACCAATTGTTGAGGCGCTTTGCTTGTAATCGACTGGGAAAAAGAGCCGCTATTCGTCCTCTTCACCTTCATTTTTTGTTGTCTCACTGAAAATAGCACTAACATTTGGGTGTTGATCTTGTTATCCGGCCATTGAACTTATATTGTTTACATATAATATAATAATAAGGATAATAATACACAGTAGGAGGGTGAAGCTTGAATCATCAAGGCTCAACCATCAACATGATCATAATCATAATAATGGTAATACAGAAAATAATAATGCTAATAATCAAAAATTGACAGCCCCAGAAGTAGTATCAGCAGCCATAACAATATCGGTTTGTGGTTCGGGCGCTACTGAAGGCGCTGCTAAAAATGATTTATACTTAATAATATATAAAGCATTCACCAAACGAGTAGGATGACATTGAATTTTGATGGCGATCAGTATGAAATAAAGATGATACTGATGATATATGTAAGAGAGAGACAGTAAAAAGCAAAAAAAGAAGACTAAGATAAGAGAATGGTGTGTTTGGTTGGTTAAGCAGTCGGTCAGGGTGGAGAAGTTGACCTTATTCTGTTTCATCTCTTTTCTGAATAAGTCATATGATATTGTAACTATCCGGTCCAGTCTTTAGAGTCAACCATTAATCCATCAATTGAAGCTTTTCATCCTTTTCCACCATTATTAATATGATCATACTTTTTTTGACTTGCTTTCTTTAATTGTGCTTAAAATTTTGTGCAGTATTATTGTCCGCCCTCCTCCTGATGACTTTTAACAAACATAAATATAACAACAGCAACAACTGGTTAAGAAGGATTCATCATTCTGGCCGATTTCAGCTTCACCATGATTACCATTGTGATCATTCTTTTTCCCCTTCAAATAATTGTGATTCTTTAAATATTCAATTTTTGTCTTGGTATCAAGATGAATGATGATTATCCTAAAATTTGCAACAGTTGAAAGCTTTCTCCTTGTCATGAAACAGGAATAACATATTGGTCCATACTAGTTTCAAGTTATTTATCAGCATCATTTTACCCCGTAGTAAATGTATTTTCAATTAAAGCTTGATCCCTTTTGAACTTTTAAGAATCACATTACAGTTGAAAAAGTGGCCTTCTTTGTCTTTTCATCTAAATTTGGTCGAAACAAGATGTAAATAGAGAAAGAAAAAGAGAGAGAGTTAACCATCTTGTTAAGAGTATGAAGATTGTGTGAGAGTACGTACTTTTTTTGCTGAATGTTGTGAGAAAAGAATGAAAGATGGATCATATTTTGTGTGTTGTTTTAGAGGAACATGTAAATGGAATAGGCTTCTAAATCATTTAATGAGAATCCTGGTAATTTGGTTGAGAAAGGCCCAGCTAAAACCATGAAGAAAACTGTTAGAGAAGAGATGAGGATACAAATGATGTGGAAGACGTTTTGTATTGCTCCGCCAAAGTCGCTTGTTTATTGGGTTGTGTTGAAGTAAATTATTCAGATGCGAATTGAAAAAAAGAAGATAAAAAGCAAACCATTACTACAAATATAACATTTATCATCATTTCTAAGACAATTATAATCACTATTTACCTTGTTATATCCACATTTTTTATTATCATAACTGATTAGAGTATGTCGTGTATATTAGTTAATGAAGTTAGACAAGCATTGAATTGATCGATTCCAAGTTTGATGTGCTTCAATTGAACAGACTGGATAAACATTGGCTCTTCAAGGTTCCTTGACCATTTGCAAACATCGGATTACTTTAAATTTTACCATCAAATTATCAATATTATTGGATGAGCATTGAAAACAATTAACAAGATCCTGTATGAAAAAAACAAATTGAAAGGCATTAAATATGAAATGAAGTGTTGAAATGATGTTTAAATTGAATTACCTCAATTGGCCATCTAGTTGTATATTTTAACAGCAATTTAAATTCAACTGGCTTTCCATTTCATCAGAGTTAACGCTCGTTTAAATTGCATCAACCAAAATTGATTGATATTCTGGGTTAGCATTTTACGATAAAATTAATTGACCAGGAATAATAATTTTTTACAATAGCAGGAAATCAATTTGGTGATTTATCATTGAACGAGAGCAGAAATTGTAAAGAAACTATTTTCAGGTCAAACAATCAAATGGACAGGTAATCAAGCCATTTCTTGGTTCAATCTGTTCATTGTGGCCAAATTTAAAAATCTTTATCAATTTGATTGCAATTGGTCTAAGTAGAGGTAAAATTGTTTTGGATGAGTTGATTCGAGAAAAATTTCGAGTTTAAATTTCTTTAACTAAATGAGGCGCAAAATTATTAGCAAGTTTGCAGTCTTCATCATTTATTTCAAATATAACTGTCAAACTCACTTTGGAAACATGATGATGAATCTGAGGAGAAAGAAGAAGAAAAAAAGAGATGAGTTAAGTTTGATAGTCAACACAATTATTGTTCAATTAATTTACACTTGAGGTACCTTTAATGATTGAGTAAGTGTACACTGCGTGTTTAAATGATTTGTATGATTTGATATCATGTTCAAGGCCAGGCTTACGGCTGACCTGTTCCCTCGGTGGATTGAAATGAATAACTAAACATTGAGAATCGGATGGCTGAGAGAGAGAGGAAGAAGGTAAAACAATGAAGAGAGATGAAAAAATGGAATTACCATTTGTTGTATACAATTATTAGTAAATAATGATAAGAAATCATGGATTCACCTGTTTTAAAGATTAAACCGTTACAATGGTGAAGATTCAACTAACCTGAGAAACTTTTGCTACAATTGTGCATTTGTTTGGAGTAATTGAAGGTCAACCGTTTTGAAAAATAAACATTCATTGTGTGGAATCAAGAATTAGCCTTTTTTTCTGAATCAAGAAAATTCAAAATGTTGACTTGGATTAATATGGTAAAAGATGGCAGTTGATACCGTTGATGATAGCCGATCAATAGCTTTGATTAACCATTATAAACCATTCCATTTATTAATACAATGTCGGACAGTTGATACGTAAATTGTGTGGTCCATGCATGGGATGCAAGATTGTTATGATACCGATAATGATCACCACGGGCAGCGTTACAATTGATGAAAGAAGATAATGTTGACAGGAATAACAAGATAATTGAGATTGAGAAAAAGTGGAATCCTATTTTCCATTAATCTTGTTGTTTATGTTTAAGGCTGCTACTGATTTTCAAGATTTACGCCAGGAGAGTGGGTGAATTTGAATGAAAAATAAACAGAATGTAAGAAATCTCTAATTTGAGCTTTCACGATCATCATCAAAAAGGACACTGCAAGAGAAAAAGAGAGAAAGGAAAACGCAATCAATAGATAATATTAAAAGATGTAGCTGCAAAAGAGCTAAGCAGTTGGGTAACTAAGCGGATTACTGAAATCGTACAAGCTTTGAAGGTAGTGAGAATCATTTAACTACGATTAACTTTTGTGTATATATTTACCTTTCATTAACGGATTTAATGGTGAAAGAGGTGAGGTGAATAATCGCATTGACAAAATTGGTGATTCTCTTTTGCCAGAAATAAAACAAAGTCAGACGATAATGGAGCTTGGTCAATCCATATAACAATCCTTCTTCAAGATTTGATGATTGCGCTAATGACAACAGAGGAGAAAGGAAACATCAGATAGAAAGATTAAAATTGTGTAAAATTGGGTAAAATTGTAGCGATTTTAATTGTTGTCAGCGAAACTAAACCTTTATATCGTCTGCTGCATCAAGATGAGTAAAAGTAAATCAAAACAAGTTACCTGGACAGGATGAAATTAGACTGTGATTAGCTTGTCCGACATCTAGTTAATTGGGTAAATTAAAAAGCCATGTTCATGAATACTAGAGAGCAAGAAAAAAAACAGATGATAACGATCATGAAATTATAAAAAGTGTCAAAATTATAAAATAAAAAAGTCAAGATTTAGTATCAAAAGACCATTTGAAAAACAACTGTTCAAAGAGAGAAAGGGAAAATTAAAGAGAAAAAGAGAGGAAAGAGGGAGAAAGAAAGAGAAAGAGAGCGAAGGAGGAGAGAGAAAGAAGCGGGAACTTGATTCGCCTTATTTTTCAGTTGCAGTTGTTGGTTTAAACCGTCAACTTTGGGTTAAATTCATTTACTTTCAACTTGGACTTTGATACTCACAATAGTCAATTTTTATTCATCTAGTGAATTGTACCTTTTATTATCTGTTTACACCAAAGTGAATTTATTAAATTGAAATCAAAGAGTCAATTTTTGGTTAAATTTTACTTCTCTTCTGTTAACCCAATATCGATTTTTTCTTGTCTTATTCTCTTTTTCTGTTTCTTTTTTCTTTCATCTTTTTCTATCTTCACTTATCTTCATCCCTTTGCCTCTGTTAGTCTGTTACATCAGCTTTACACATTTCAACACTCAATAATAACGTTTGCGCCAAAAAGACTTCTGCTTGTTTTCGCTTCTGCTATTATACCTCATTCAATTTTTTAATTATTTTCTACGGTTATTCCATCGTCTTTATTTTCAAATTTTACCTTTATTTTACCGTTTTATTATCGTCTTGTTTTATTGCTTTGTGCTGTGCGACTACTCAAGAATCTATCCTTAGTCAGGATAAACAAATTCTGTGAAATTTTATCCAATTTTGGTTTACAATTCTCAAGTGTCTCCTCATTTTCTTTGGATTACATTCACTTTTTACCATCGACAACAGTCACAACCCATATTGACTGTTTCTCTTTCAAAAACCGTTGTTTTTAACACTTTTTACAATCAACACCTTTATACGTTTCAACAATACTCTGTGTTTTTTAAGCTTGAAGATTTATCAATATGGAAGCTCCAAAAAAGAAAATTCCTATTCATGTTCAGGTACTGTTCAGGTTTAAATCTATTCAAACATTCCAGTCTGTTCAATTGCAAATTTTTTTTCCAATCATTAGGTCAGCTAGTATTTCTATTTTCTGGTTATTTGAATGACATTCAATATCATGAAAATTTCCAGGCTGTTTTTGTGTTTCATTCAGAAAGGCTTTGATTTCAACTGATACAACTCAATACATTTAATTGTTTTTTTTCTTATTGTTGATAACTAACGTACTTTCTTTTCTTTGATTTCAACAGAGCTCTCAAAATCGCATAATTATCAGACAGGGAAGAATTGTTAACAGTGATTCCATGTTTGATGCCGATGTTTTTATTGAAGATGGTATCATCAAGTAAGTTAAAAAATCTTGATTCAATGTGGGAAACCCATAAAAATATAACCATATCCTGTCCAGCTCGGGTTAAAGTGCATTTATTAATAGAAAAATTGTAATAGCTAAAATCATGAAAATTGTTTCTCTATCATCACCTCCTACGAACTGATGTGATGAATAATAATTACTTACTTTATTATAATAATATTTTCTGTTATTTGCTTGCTCAGCCACAACAAGATTGACCTTAAGATGGTTTGATGTTAATTGTTATAACGTGTATGTTGGCGTCGAGTGACCAAATAAAATTACACACAAACAATTAATTCTTTATTTTGGGAGTTTACAAGCTTACTTTTACATTACTTGGGATTGTCCTGACTTTTGGGAACGCGAGTCATCTAATTGCTCTTACATGAATTTCATTCCATAAACTAATGAATGATAATGAATCTTTGTTAATTTTATGGGATTTAACTCATCTCATTTTTTTCCTACCGATTAAAGTAGACAATCAGATTCGCTATAAGATATTTGCATTTAGCACAACAATCATCGAAGATGGATTAGATCCTAAATTACTGACAAAAGTTGAAACTTAATTAATTGAGTTACCAGACAGTTAACGAAATCAGTATATTCAGTATTCTATTCGACTTATTCAATCAAATAAGTTCAAAATTATTTTTTTTCTAAATCAGATGAAAGGTAATGATTATCAAAACTGATAAATTACTTTTTTCTGATTTGCTTTCCAATATTACGATTATATTTAAACGATTTTAGATTTAATGTTTTTGATTCATGGAATATTGGCTGATATCCTCTGAACACTGAATTAAACAACCAATAATATTAATAGTTAAATTTAGTGTAAAACTTTGCAAACATAACTACCATTAAAAAATTGAAATCAGTTGTAGTATTTTTAGCAATTTGAGTTTTAATAGTTGATTCTTAATGATGAGTAAATATGAAAAAAGTCCAGCAAACTGAATCAAATATACGGATCATAACCTGATATGATGATTTCATGGTCACTTGATCACATCAATTTTAAGGTTAATTTCCTTACGATAGAGTATCACATCAAAAATTATATGATTTGCTTTTTATCTAAAATTTGCGCTTTTTTCGTACTTCCTGACTTTCTTCCATGATACATATGTTATCAATTGCACGAAAATATATGCACTATAATTTAATATGATGTTGAAAAAACTATAAAAAGCATCCATAAATAATGTAACTTGAATAAGTAAATTCAAGTGTGTGGTTGGATAATTTTGTGTTTATTGACTCGTATTATCATGCACACTTTACCTCTCAATATTGATGATTCTTAAATCTTTATTTTACAGACAAATAGGACCTAATCTTATTGTACCTGGAGGATGTCGAGTGATCGATGCAAAGGGACACTTCGTCATACCTGGAGGAATTGATCCACACACTCATTTGGAAGGTATTTTTATGGGCACTTCATCAGTGGATGACTTCTATGCGGGAACTCGAGCTGCACTGGCTGGTGGAACCACAACTGTATTTGATTCACCTCTTGAAACCAACTTATCTCCAGTTCAATTGTTTGAAAAGTATCGGGCAATTGCTGATTCAAAGGCATGCTGCGATTTCAGTCTTCATGTGCCCGTTACCAAATGGAAAGATGGAGTAACCGAAAAAGAAATTGAGACTTTAGTTAAACAAAAGGGTGTCAACGCTTTTAAAGCTTTCATGGCTTATAAAGATTCCCTCATGTTGGAAGATCATGAGCTGATCAAGCTTTTTGACTGTTGCAAGAAACTTGGTGCAGTTCCCAAAATTCACGCTGAAAATGGTCATCTAATTGATTTCTTGGCCAAGAAACTCCTTCAAATGGGTGTTACCGGCCCTGAAGGTCATCTTCAATCACGTCCAGAAGATCTTGAAGCAGAAGCTGTTCACCGAGCTTCCGTTTTAGCTCACCATGTCCAATCCCCTTTGTATATTGTTCATGTAATGAGTAAATCTGCAGCCGAAGAGATCAATAGAGCAAGATCTCGGGGAACTCTTGTCATCGGTGAAACTCTCGCCTCAGCTATTGGTACCGACGGAATTCACTATTACAATCGGTGTTGGGCACATGCTGCTGGACATGTATTATCACCACCTCTTCGACCAGACCGCACAACTCCTGAAGGATTAGTTAATGCTTTATCTGCTGGTGTGCTTGATGTTGTTGGCTCAGATCACATAGTTTTCTCAGCCCAACAAAAAGCTCAAGGAAAAACTAATTTCACCAAGATTCCTAATGGAGTCAATGGAATCGAGGAAAGGTTAATGGTTATTTGGGAAAAGGGAGTTCGAACAGGTAAAATGGATCCAACTCGGTTTGTTGCCGTTACCAGTGCAAATGCTGCTAAAATTTTCAATATTTATCCTCGAAAAGGAAAGATAGCTGTTGGCTCAGATGCTGATATTGTTGTCTGGGGAAAGAAACCACGAGTTATTAAAGCTGAAACTCACAATTCTCGATGTGATTTTAACATTTTTGAAGGATTACAGGTTGAATTTAGCCCAATTGTGGTCATTTCACAAGGTGTAGTAGCTGTTAATGAAGATGGATCTCTACACGTTTCTCAAGGGAAAGGACGTTTCATTGAATGTCCACCTTTCCCAGCTATCCTTTATGAAAGAGTCCGTAACCGAGAACGCAACATGGGTCCTGTGAAAGTTGACCGATCTGAAAGACCTGAAACTCTTAGACCGGCCATTCAAGCAAATGTAACTAACGGCAATGCAAACAATAATGGAGCAGATAAAGTTAACCCAATTAGTGTAGAGCCACCGGTTATATCAACCAAAAATAATGATTATGAAACCATTCCCACAACCGGTCCTCCATCACCTGCTCTTTCAACTGCAAGCTCTGGAACCTCTGCCGCTGGTTTTCATTTGTCTAAAACTAGGAGCGGTGTTCGTAATCAACAAGACTCAAGCTTTAAGCTTACCGGTGAACAATTTGATGATTCTGGAACAAGACGGACGGCAATTAAAGTCCATAACCCACCAGGAGGACGCTCAAGTGGAATCTTTTAAGATTGAAAGTTTTCCACCTCGCTTGTACCTTATTAAAAACCAATGAATCCCCAAAATGTCCTAATCTTGAAACACGAAAGGGACAATTTTTCAAGTTACTCTTTGTCACGAGAAAATCTGTTTTAGTTATCTGCTTTCTTCTTTTCTCACTTTTTACTTTATCCCTTTCTCAACTTGCGACTCATGTGCATGATGTTCGCCCTTCTCCTTTTGCAAGCAAACTGTCAATTTTGTTTTCTTTTTCTCTATTCTGCATATTCACTTAATTTGATTAAAACTTATTTAATTAATAACTGATTCAAAATTTTTAATGGATAAAACATGGTTAAAACCCTTACACACCTTGAAATATTATACATTCTTAGTCATTGAACTATCTTGTTTAATCCGTACGAAGGTTTCAGATTAAATAGACACTGTTAGTTGAGATTTAATAAATTGTTTAACATTTTGACGAGTAAACCGAGTTTATCATATAACAATCAGTGTAGAAAGAGTTTCAAGACTGAAATTTTAGAAAAGGCAGTTGGAGTTGCTATTTAGGTATGAGTTAACAGTTTTACATTGTTTGGTCAAAATGATTAACTTTCCTAGCAATCGGGAAAATAATCAAGTTTGAGTTTTTTTAGGCAAATTTTTAACTAATGATAAAAGATGTTGAATGGCATCTTGTTCCTGGGTGAGGTGTGATTTAACATCTTTCAGGAGATTTTCATCAATAGTAAATGATGGTGCGGTCTGATGATTTTGAAGTTGTTTCAGTTTAATCATCAGATCATTTAGATTTGATTTTAGCTTTCCTTGTTCATTGATTTCTCGCTGTAAATCTTCCAATTTTGCTCTCAATTGATCTTCATAGGCTTGAACAGGATAAAAGCGACGTCTTTTAACCATTTGCCAAACCATTAGAGATAAAACTCGATTACTTAAGAGAACATTTTTCCGTTTACATTCTTCAACCAAAATTTTTATCACGGCAATACTTTTGGTTATATTTTCTATCTCGTCCATAATTAATTTTAATTGTAATCTTTGTTGTTGAACTTCTTGTTCCTGTAACTTGAACCGTTCATTAAGAGCAGCAAATCCAATCAAAGGAACAGGGATAAATTTTTCAGGATCAGGATTATTTAGCTTGGCTTGATTCCATATAAGCTCATCGATCCCTGCTGGTACAACCTTTAGATACTCGTCGATTTCTTGTTTTGACGGAGGATGTAAAGGAACCAATTGACAGAATTTATTTTGGAAAACATTTGGTAACTGCATTTTGACATTCATCTGGTTGAGGAAAAGAATTATTTGTCGGGCTGGTAATTTAAGGTTGGTTGCTGTATCTGTTACTGTAATCATCAACATAGCTTTGTTATCTGGTAAAATTTTGCTCGCTTCTACTTTGGGAACATAATTTTGACCAAATAAACCTTTTAAATTATTCTCGTATTGAAGTATGGCCGTGTTCATCTGACTTTCACCTCCTTCCATTGAAATAACAACACCAAATTTGCTTTCACTTGCTTCCTCGGATTTAATTTTGGAATAACCGATGGCTTTAAATCTATGGTTGGGTTGATGTTGATTTAAATCGATAGGTGCTTGGCCTTGCATGTAAAATGCTTTCCCAGTTCCCCAGTACGCTTGTAATTTATTGAACAATCCGAGGACTTGGTCTCTTTCATCATTGAACATTTTTGGGTTGAAAACGCTTGGCTTTGTAATAGGAAATTGGAGAATGATATTAGTCGGATGAATAAAGAATTGAAATTATAGTAAAACAAACCTGATTAAGATCCATTTCTATTTTAGTATTGGATTCCGTTAACAAAATGGCAACGAACAGTCAAAACAAATTAAAATTGGATAAATAATAAGCAGGAAACAAGGTGTATATAATCACAGTGGCACACCAAGACCAGAACTTTGGAGATGAACAGAGAACCAAACTATGCCGATCCAAGTAACTTTAAGTATAAGACTGTAAAATAAATAGATCATAAATAATTAGATGACCATTAAATAAACATGACTTGCAGATAAACCGATAGAATCAAAGAGTTAATAGTCATGAAGAGAAAGCATTAAGAAAGCTCAACATATGAGTAGAGAATGGTACATGTTAAAAAACCAGCCTGGTCCATTTTACAATCCAAGACATAGTAGAAGACAGTTTTAATTAAAAATATTGTTAGCTGATGACTTACCTTTAATAATATAATTATATTAAGGAAATAATTAAAATAAATAAAATAATAACACCGATAATTCAGATGGCTTTAGTTTTTGAATTTCACAGTAAAAGTAACAACTGAGATGGGTTTGAATTTTTTTTGGCGGGCTGGATGATTAATTTTGTCTTTTCTCTCCCTTTAAGTCTACAATCTCTTTATTCATGAATTCATGGTTTTCTGTTGAAGGTGACATTTTTAATCATTTTTGTTGTATGATTATTATTTAAGTGGCATTAAAATGTCAAGGAATCAGCAAATGCATTGAAATGGGAATTATTTGTCTGGATTTAATCAAGAAGCAATACATTGACTCTTTGCGATTGACTACAACAAGAAAAGGTATGATTTCATTCCAATATTTTTGTTATTAAAGTTGACTTATCTTGTTCTGCTCTTCTTTTAGGTTATAAAAATGATGCGAAGTCAGTCCCTAAGTATCTTAAATTTGATTAAGAGATCTGGAACAGTCAGTTGTGGTGGTTTGAATCGACTCTTCAATAACTGTGACTCAAAATGGTTTGCTTCATTAGAAATCATCAATCAAAACCCTCGACATTTTTTGCAGCCTAATCCTCAAATTTATATAACAGATAGGCTATTTTGTGCCAATAAACTTACTCAATGGTATGTTACAATTTATTTGATAAACATTATCTTTCTATGATTATTGTTTTTCTTAAAGTTGGCAGTGTGGAAGCAAATTTCGGGAAAGCTTACCCATCAGCTGTACCAATTGTCTGGCACCGCAATTGAATCACCCAGAATTAAATTATTTCACCGTATTTAACCTAAAAGCAACCTATGATGTAGATGTCCCAGAAATAAGGCAAAGATTCCTTGATTTGCAAAAAATCCTTCATCCTGACAAATATAGCAACCGTTCTCTGGTAAATTTATCTGATTTTCATTACTATAAACAGTGGTCTTATTATTTTTTATTTTCACAGGAAGAGCAATACACTTCTTTGGATCTTTCAACATTTGTCAACAAAGCCTATAAAGTTTTGCAAAATCCATATAAAAGAGGAATATACCTGCTAAAATTGAACGGAATACATCGAGAAGAAAGTTAGCTTTTCTCAAATGATATTTCTGTATACTGTAGTAGTTTCTAATAACCGAATACTTTTTCAATAGGAGAAGGTAACACCGTTATGGATCCCGATTTCCTCGAAGACATGTTATCAATAAATGAAGCAGTTCTAGAATCGAGCATAGAGGGATTAGAAAAGATCCGGTCCGACGTGCAAAGTAAAGTTAACCATCTTGTTAGCTCTATATCCAGAAGTTTTCAGACGAATTCGTTACAAGAGGTCGAATTATTGTTAAACAAGTTGAAATTTTATGTCAACATACTTGATAAAATAACCGAGAAAGAGTGAAATTAGTCAAAATTGGGAAACAAGACTTAAAACGCACTTAAAGACAATTTTTCAATTACTCTAAAGTAAGTAACATACGCATAAAAAAAAATTTTAACATTTTTATATCTTTTTTAGCAATTCTGCTGTTTTTCTATCATCTGATCCTTTTCAGGAATATTCAATTTTACCAAAGTTCTACGTGGCAATCTGTATGTTTTCCACCAGCGTCCGTCTGATGTTGGCGGATCGTACTGGCGTCGTTGTCTGCAACGAGGAGGCTTGAGTTCTCCTTTCTCCATGCGGGCATTAAAATGACTATTCATTTTGCTTTTGTATTTGTCTTTTACTCTGTAATGGCATTCAGGATATGGACAGTTCCAGTAAATTTCACTGCAAGAATAATTTGGGCAAATTATGTATTAAATTCATGTAAATTCATCATTACTTACAATTCGTCATCTTCCTCTTCAACATCTGCTTCTGCTGCATTTGTCTCTTCATCTTTTTCTTTCTCAGCTTCATTCTCTTGGATTATTTCTTCAACAACTTTTTCTTTCTCTTCATCTTTTTCCTCATCGTTTTTTTCATTAGTTATTGCTTCCAATTCTGTTTTGAGCTGAAGGACGGCCCTTGTTACCTTTCCGATTTTATTGTTAATTGATTCCAATTTATTGAACAATCCGAGGAATTGGCCTCTTTCATCATTGAACATTTTTGGGTTGAAAACGCTTGGCTTTGTAATAGGAAATTGACATTGGAGAAAGATATTAGTCGGATGAATAAAGAATTGAAATTATAGTAAAACAAACCTGATTAAGATCCATTTCTATTTTAGTATTGGATTCCGTTAACAAAATGGCAACGAACAGTCAAAACAAATTAAAATTGGATAAATAATAAGCAGGAAACAAGGTGTATATAATCACAGTGGCACACCAAGACCAGAACTTTGGAGATGAACAGAGAACCAAACTATGCCGATCCAAGTAACTTTAAGTATAAGACTGTAAAATAAATAGATCATAAATAATTAGATGACCATTAAATAAACATGACTTGCAGATAAACCGATAGAATCAAAGAGTTAATAGTCATGAAGAGAAAGCATTAAGAAAGCTCAACATATGAGTAGAGAATGGTACATGTTAAAAACCAGCCTGGTCCATTTTACAATCCAAGACATAGTAGAAGACAGTTTTAATTAAAAATATTGTTAGATGATGACTTACCTTTTATAATATAATTATATTTATGAAATAATTAAAACAAATAAAAAATAACACCGATAATTCAGATGGCTTTAGTTTTTGAATTTCAGCAGAAGTAACAACTGAGATGGGTTTGAATTTTTTTGGCGGGCTGGATGATTAATTTTGTCTTTTCTCTCCAAAGAGTATAACTCTATTACTCTATTACGCTATTAATCCTTGTTTCTCTCCCTTTAAGTCTACAATCTCTTTATGCATGAATTCATGGTTTTTTGTTGAAGGTGGACCGAAAAAGAGTGATATTAGTCAAAATTGAGAAACAAGACTTCAAACGCAATTAACCTTGCAATTACTCTAAAGTAAGTAACAAACGCATAGCCAAAATAAATTTTAATATTTTATTTTATCTTCAAAATCAAAAATACATTCCAGACAAAAGCTATCAAAAATTATTTATTTTATTTCAATCTCAAATAAATGAGTTTCAGTTTTAGTTCTTTCTTCTTTGAGTCTTTCCTTTGGCTCTATTGACTTGGTCATGTTTTAGTAACACTAAACATCATGTTCAAGTCCCGTCTAATGATGAAATATGATACCGCCCCAGTCTGAACATTAAGGATGACAGGTATTTGCTGATTAGACGGAAAAATGTTTTGTGCAAGGCAATTGTTATCCTTTAATCATATTCATTACTTTTAAGATCACTATTTGATTACATTTCACGATTATTTGAGTGACCATATTGGTTTGGTTTAGAATAGGAAATTCAAATTTTGAAATGAATGAACAAAGTAAGTCTTACTGAATTAGTTTAGACAATCTAGAATAATTCTACAAACTAATTGATTGATTTCTCTAAATTATTGTCAACTTAACTGTTATCTTTTTGATATAATTGATATATTAATATTTTCAGTCATTATTCAGTTTAGACAAGATTCTACAAAATATTCCATCATTATAGTAACAAGTAAGTTTTTAGTGAACAAACAAATAAATTATTTTTATTAATTAGTATGTTATTCAAAATTACAAACAATCTTAAACTTTTCTGTATAAATTTTCCAAGTTTTTGACTTGTGAGGATTGTCAAGCTCAGAACGGGGTATCGTTAAACTGTTACACTCAATGAAATTACAATTAAACCAAAAATAAAAGGCACAATCCTCGTAGGCTCTTGGAACACTTTTGGTTCTGCAATTGAATTTGATTCGCACATCTCCCTTCAGGACTGGGCAATTTTTAGGCGTTATAATGAGTATATCTTCAGCTTTATTATAAAATGCGGTGCAATTGGTTTCAGTTCCAAAATCAAGATTAAACGTCTCTGATCGGTCAATCAATATAGAAGCACTTAAATCTGAACCATCACCTGATCCAACTGTTGAGATACCTTCAATATTGATACTTTTCAGAGTTACTGTTTTGGAATCTGGTATTTTACCATTGAACTGGCTAATAACACGACTAAAATAATCAATATATCTAGCTTGACTTGGTGTCTCTACTCCTTGGTATTTTTTACCAACTGAAGTATCAGTTCGCCGATCTGCAAAATACTGTAGTACATCTTTACACTCATCAAAATGACCATTATAAATTAACCAAGCACAAATCATTGTTCCAGTTCGACCTTTGCCACCTAATATACAAGAATATGAAAAAATTAATAAAAAACATTCTTAATTTTATTCCTATAGCTTGAAATGGAGATTATTTTAATTACCTTTACAATGAGCAGCAATGACATGTCTTTCATCTTGACCCAACCATTCTTTAACATCTTCAACAAACTTCATCATTTGATCCAATGTTGGTACATTATGGTCATCTATTGGGTATCGAGCAACTCTTCCATGGAAATGTGTAGTATCATAACCTTTCTCAGAGCAGAGATTATAAATTTTATAATTATCTGGACCATGTTTCAAGTCGAAAAATTTGGAAACATCTTTGATATGATTTCGATAGAAAGCCCATGATCCAGATGAAGGGAAAGACATTCCAATTACTCTGGGTGTAATGTAGGTTAAATCAAGATCGAAACCATCACCACGATAACGTCTCTTATTTTCAGAGACAACCATCCGAACACCTTTTTGTATGTTCTTAGGTTCAGTGACAACACGAATTAACCTTACGAGTACCATAACCCGAACTAACCGCACCAATACAATCAACCTAATAACCATAAATAAAAGATTTCAATGCAAAACTCCATTAGAATTAAGTCCAAAATATAATTGAGTCTAAAGTTGAAGATTACTTACTTAGCATAACTGCTATTTCCGTTCACGTTTACATAGATACATGTTATCAAAAAGCTCATAATGATAACTACAAAATCAACACAATTGTACCAATCAATGAAAAAATGATCCACCCTGAAATGAAACAAAAACAAAAGAATCAGATTAGAAATAAAAAATACTTTTTTGTACAAAAATTCAAACGAGATTTAAGATTGAATGGGTGAATTAATTGGAAAGAGTAGAAATAAAAATCTGACAACTGACCTATTCACTGATTTTGAAGGTTGATTAACAATAATTTATAATTTTTCAATAACAAGGAAGTTCAATACTGGCAACTTATTCAGATGGATTATCATCTTTCCTGCCATTCATTTCAAAGTAATTTAATGTGCTCTATTCATAGAAAATGCTATTCTTAAAAAGTTACTGTCTGATCAGTTTTTTACCGGTAACTAACGGTCAAGTAAAAAGACTGAGCAAAAAGTTGATAACTGAACAAAGGGAAAAATTGAAAAAGCTATTCCACAAAAGCATTTGCGACAAAAGAATCAAATGATAAATTATCGCAAGTCTTCATTTTAAATGGCAACAAATGGGAGGTTAATCCTAAAAGCATATCGGCCAAAGTCAAAATTTGATATCAAATTTATGATAAATTCACTCCTGACTGATTGATTTTCTGTGAGATTTCTGGTAATAGAAAGAAATAATGCAAGTTAAAAGGAAATGATATTCATAGCAGATAATAGGGTGATAATGAGGAATCAGTTTTCCTCAATTAAGCATAATATTATGGCTCTAAACTCATTGTCATACCATAATTGGTTTTTTTGATCTGACAATGTGCGTTGAACCGTTAGAGATGGTAGACAAATACTCAGGAGCATGGGATAGGCTACAGCTGTTATGTCGATGAATAAACTTACCCGATTGCATAGATTCGGAGACACACTTCTACAAAAAAGATGATTGCAAAAATGAGAACCACGATGTCAATGATGTCTTGGTCTTGGGGACTTTTATCACCCAAGGAGAGATCGATAACCGTTAAAGCACAATCAATAATAATAAGGATTAAGGTTGCAATTCGGAAAAAAATATTTTGTACAAAACGGTAAATCTTATCACGCACAGATGATCTTGTCTGGACAAGATCTGACAATTCTTCATATTTGGTTGTGGGTACAGCCTCATTAGAGACTAAGGATTCGTCCATGTCGGATTTACCCATGTTGCTAGGCTGGTTATTGAGCGAAATTTGATATGTTGTTCAGGGTTCAGATGATTATGAGGTTGTCAGGATAACAGCCAAGAACAGGGATCACGATGATTTAAGGAACAAGATAAAGGAAAAAATTAAACAAGTGTAAAAAGTCAGAAGTGATTGAAGCAGCAAAGGCAATAATGAAACGTTGATGGTGTAACAGAGTAAGAGACAAAAGATCAACAAAAAAGAAAACCAAGAGTTGATTGCAATAAAACAAAGGTGAATCAATTGTGTGAGAAAGCACAGTGGTTAAAGTGATACAATGATTACGATAATGATGACCGCCACCAATGGAAGAGACAAGAAAATCACAGATTTTTATCAGGCAAAGCAAAAAAAACAGAAAAGATTGCAATGACAAGAGAGAAAAGGCAACAGACACAACAAGAAAGGTCAAAAAGATTCAAGATGATGACGATGACGGTGATAATGGTGAAGAACCATGATGTGAAAGTATTTTGGGTTTTCAACGTTAATTAAACCAACGGTGGATACAGTGAAAACAAGCGGAAGAAAAGTAGAGTTGAAATGTAGATGTTAGTGGTTTGAATGTTGTTGTGCGGTGGTGGTGATGATGATGGCAAAGAACAAGTCTCAACAAAAATAATAGTTGATGGGTGTTTTTACAGACCACATTGATACATACAGTGAGAACCAAAAAGATGACATAAGAGAGAGAAAAAGAGAAAGAGAAAGAAAAGACAGAGAGAGAAAGAGAGTGAGAGAAAGAAATGCAGTTTTTAAAAAGAGAAATAAAATGAAAAATTATGATACAAGTGGGCAAAAGAGAAATGGAAAAAGATTGGAAGATATAAAAGGAAGATAAAAGAGGATGAATAGTGAAATAAAATAGCCTACCGAACCAGCTAGACAAGCTACATCCAGCTTGGTGATAACACCAGGAACATTAACTGAGTCAACATGAGATTCAACTGGTAATTTTTTAACTGGAAACATTTGTTGAGAGGAAAGAGAAGTGAAATCTTTTGAATTTTCTTTCATTTTCTTTTCATTAGTTGCCATATTTTTTGTTTCTTTTGATAACCTCAGTTAGTAATCGGGTTATTGATTGTTATCTTGGCGCTCTATCCCAATGTTGTTTAATGTGTTGAATCCTTTTGAACCTTTTAGTAATAGAGGTTTAGATACTTTGGTGTTAACTTTTAATGTGAATTGTTTTTCAAGGTTAATTTCAACCTTTCCACTGTTTAATCCTTCCAACGCCTGATACACTGTGTGTTAATTATTCCATGTGATGATTAAAATTAACAATTAAACAGAGTTCAATGAATTGTTTTCACCCTTATTCAATGGTTTCCCTTTCAACATCAAGCTTTTCTTGCATAGACAAACATTCAAGGAGCAATACAAAACAACAACCGAATCGTTCCTTCAACCTAATTCCAGATGATTGTTTTAATGATGCAAGTGTAAACTGTGTTCCTTTAATCAACCCTCTAAATTGACATGTGATAAAAAAGGAGAATAATTGATTCAGGTTCAACGAAATCAAACCAAAAACCAATGATAAATACAAGTAAAATTGCAATAACATTTACTGGATTCAACAGATTGTATGATTTGAAATGATATTGCAACGACTACATATTAATATCATCTGATGTTTTGAAAAATCGATCAACAAGTGCCATAACAGATCAAAACTGAGCAAAAAGGGTGAATCAATTGATTTTATAGCAGATTATCAGTCATTTTGTGAATTTACCATCGATAAATAAAGATGGTCCAATAAGACAAAAGGCAATCTAAATCAGTTAGCAACTACAATTCAACTTACACGATTGAACAGCTAAATTATCAATAAAACATACTCCTTTTAGATTGATCAAACTTGAGCTTTCCACTAAAATCCAATGGTGAGAATTATCATGGATCAAGCTCAATCTTCATGACGTTTTCATCCACGCTGTTTCCACCCTCAATTCAAGCTAAACAATGATTTCAATTTACTATAGATGATATTATTAATTCACCTGTTGCCACAAAAAAACACAAGAAAATAATAATGACGAGTTAGGGTGAAAATGCACATTAAAATGTAAATAAAACTATTTCCTTTCACTGGAATCAATATTTAAAATCAGATGAAGGTTTTTACAATATTTCAATCAACACAGCAGATAATATTATTTGCAAAATTGTTGTTGACGATGATCACAATTAAAGTGTAGAGAAACAACCAAGAGGTAAACACATTATGTTGATCACTGATTTTTTAACGTCTATACACGAATAACAGACCAACACTGATATATTAAATCAACTTATTTTCATGATTCTCATTTTCTCGTTGCTAAGTTAACGATAAATACAAAGTGATTGTTTTATCACATTATTAGTCATGAATTGATCAAACACTCTCGAAGTGCAGACTTTTCTAGCTAATGGTTCAACTATATTGTAACATGACAGACTGTCATTCTTTATGCTGAGAGATTTATTGAACATTTAATGTAAATTAGGTGAAAAAGGCTGCAATATATCATTAACTAAAAGCACAGATTGTTTTTGATAAAGCAAGTTTTAATTGATTAAAACTTTGATGGAATAAATTCAGAGTAAGATTTATACCAATTAGCCGATAAAATAAATACATTGAGATAACCAAAAGCAAAAATAAAGGTTCTTGGTTCTTGTTTTCAATTCAGTTCAACACAAAATAACGATAATTTCATCGATTTTAATCACTAAATGTGATACAAATTGTCTGTACAAAGTAGATTGTTGTAACTAATGATCATATTGTCTGATTTATACCAAAAGTTCTAACTTGTAAAGTTGCAGGAAAATTGTAAAAAAAGAAAATTCAAATTCGATATTTACGCATTAAATGTAAATTGATGATGTATAATCCTAAAAGTGTCATCTGGGCCAGATTAGCATGAAAATATCACAAGTTGGTTGCATGTTTACAACTGTCACAAGCAAGGAGCTCAAAATAATTTTTTAGAGTAGATTATCACAATAAATTCAAAATATTCAGCATCGTTGAGTTTACATTTCGACGAATTTACATGCAAGATTGAGTTTCACGCCAATTTTATTGTGATTCCATTTTGATAAATTGGATTGAATAGTGTTGATTGAGAGTCTTTGACATTCCATTCCTGGGTAAATTGTCATCATTTCTTGACAATGGCCGAATTGTATGCCACATGAGGTTGGTTGAGAGGATTTTCAGGTGATTTCATCCAGTCTTTCTTTAGTATTTGCTTGATTTGGGAAAGCCTCAAGTTTGAGTTTTCAGCCTTGTATTTAGGTAACATTTTTTCCTCGAAGGCTGTGTAAGCTGCTTTCACACGTCGTTCCGGATGACGTTCAAATTCTGTATCTGCAACACTGAAGGTAAAATCAAAATGAAAAATAAAAATATTATTAAGTGGTACAAGACTTGATGTAAGTTGACTCCTTACCTGAGAACAGCAATAGCTTCATCAACCGTGCGAGCTTCATTCTCGACTTGTATTCTGTTCAGATTTTCTTCAATCGGAGTTTCAATCACTTTAGGCTTAGGACTTTCAATTTTTTTACTCTCTAATTTTGTTGCAATTTGAGCTCGAGTTACTTTAGTAGGACCTGATGAACTACCACCTCCACTGGGTCCTTTGATTGAAGCCATTTCTTCTTCATAAAGAGCTTGTTTCAAAGCTTTTTTAGCCAAAGTTTCTTCTTTTTTCTTTTCTTGTTCAGCTTTTCGTTGGGCTTTTCTCAACAATTGCTTGTCATCATCTTTCCAATAGGCATCTTCCTTTTCCTTTTGAATCCTATCTTGTTCAGCTCTTTTTTTCTCATCTTTACGGGCACGAGCTTCAACAGCTTTAGAGTTTGTTCCCATCTTTTTAGGCATCTTGATAGCTTAAAAGGTCACCGTGAAGATTTAAAGATTTCCTTGAAGTTGTGAAAACGTTAAAAGGTAGATCGATAACATTAGTTCACAATAATCAACCAAGATGTTTTTTCCACAACCATCGAATTATGAAAACATATGATTAACGTTGAGCGTTTCTATAGTGACTATAGACAAGTGATGCAACCTTGGTTTGGCGGTTACCATGAATTGTTCAAGGTTCGATTCAAGATTAAATCTCGATGAGAAAGTTGAAAAATTGCCCAGTGCGTATAGTTGAATAAATTTCCTTTTTCTTGTCACTCTGCATTGAATTTTGAGAGGAATAATTTTTTTCCCCAAACAATGAGGATTATTTGAAAAACAAAATAGAGTCAATCTATTAATATTGTCAATTATTCTATAAATTATCATCTTTTTTTACTTTCTTCCTCTTCCAAGCATCATTTCTTTTATACTGAATAGTTGGAATAAAAGATTTACTTTGAAAATGAGATTATCTCCATGGGCTTTAATGTTGCTGGACCAAGATACAAATGTCTTAATTTGATTTGATATAACAATGAGCATCGCATCACATACATAAATGATACTATTCAGATTTATAAATCGGAAGAGCCTTTATATTTTAAATAAATTGACAAATTTGTGATTGAGGAGAAGGAAAATGTAGATGAAGAATATAGCATGGAATGATAGCTCTAAGCTGATTTCTTGTTTGCAACCACAACAATCTCCACTGAATGAGTGAAAAAATGAAGAATTAATTGGGAAAATACATTATGATAATTATTATGATGAAGGATGATCGTGATTTTGATAACGATTTTCTCTTCAAGCTCTGTTCAAAGATTTAGTGAAAGGAACATCAATTTTATCAGGATCGAAATCATCTTCATCTTCTGGTTCATCGTCACAGTTCCTAGAAAGTGAATCCTCACTTGATGAGCCATCCACATCTCTGCCTCTTACCGTAAAGTCATCGAAATTTTCTCTTAATTTGTAATCCTCTTCATCTTCCCAGTCCCTGTAAAAATTGATTTCAGAATAATCATAGCTTTCTTCATCGGGATAGTCGTTTCGTGGATTATTTTCGTCATTTGAATCACTGTCTGATTCTTCATCTTCCTCATCTACACTGTACAAGTTGTTATCCAAATCTTGTAGACAATAAATGTCATAAACATAGCCTCTAAAGGTTGGCTCTTCCTCTTCGTGTAATTGGGGATCTGTGGAGCGATGAAAAAAAAGGAAATGATTATTAAAGAAATGAAAAACATAAATTAAATGATCTGAATAACGAATAAAAAGATGGCAAGACAACCTTAAGCAATATTTACAAAAGATAAAGATAAATGAATATATAGTAAACATACCTTCTTCTACAACTGTTTGATTTACATCAATAATATCAGAATCCTGGATGCTCTGATTGTTGATTACCTTAAGAACATCTTGTAATTGAGTAGTCTTCACGGATGCAATAAACTTACACCTCTTGTATTGTCTTGAAGAGTAGCAAGGATCTTCATCAGCTTTCCGTTTAACACGAAGATACCGAGGACCACAATCACTAGACATGTTTTTTCTTATTCAATAATAGTAGCCACACTTGATATAAATAAATAAAAATAAATACAACTTCAATGTTATGTGTTATTAAAAAGAGTAAAACCAAAATAAACAAGCAATGGTTAAATTGACAATAAATTTAAGAAGATTAACGTAAACCGCGTATTTAAATAAATGACTCTTGCTTTTTAAACATTAAATGGCTAACATATTTTTCAATACATCGATTTGGAACCAAACGATACATCGAAAAAGAAAAATTTAATTAGCCTTTTATTAGCTGATCAACAAAGTGTTATGATTGGTAAGGCAGGTTAACCCCACTGCCATAATAGCAGTGCCTCTATAGCAGGGGCTTATACCAATATATCTACTTAACAATACCAAGGTCACAAACACCTGCGAGCATCAGGCAATCATAACATTTTCCGAGTTCAAAACCTCTTGTTAACAACTTTTCCAATTCTCATTCGGTTATTCATGATTTTGAGATTTTCATTCAACTCAAATTATTTCAAAAAAGCTTTTTGTTTGAGGTTTATTTCACAAAATCAACTTATTGCTGTAAGTTATATTAAATAATCCAAATTGGTTGAGAATCTATTCAATTGATTGGCGAAGATGAATGAAATTGTTTAATATATTGTAAATTTTTCTTAAAAGTCTAAATATTGGATTGAAATTTGAAAAATTTAAATATAGTTGATCATTGAATTTACAAGGGAAAGGTTTATGTACATTTTTTTAGCTTTCATCTTTACACAGTGTATCAAGCCTGTAAGGATCAGGCACCTGTCCCTCGGGGTCCCCTCGAGGGTCAGGTTTATGGATCGAATCCCGGTGACCTTACAATTTTTTTATTTGATTTTTACATCAATTTCTTTGCTATTTATTGTTAAACTTAAATATTTTATTGATTAGTGTGCATCTATTGATTTAATTTTGGCCTGTTTTTTGAAATTTATCGCGAATTTGTTGCCTTTTGGAAGATTTGAAATATTTATGGTGACTTCAAAGGCACTGAAAAATCGCGTTTATTCATTTGTTTAGTATTCTCAGGAACCAAAAAAGACCAAAAGTCAATTCTATTAATTTGGAAGACTTTAGTAAATTTTGTCAATATTATTTCAGTCAGGTTTAAGAGTTTCATATTCATCTATTTTCATTCAATTCTTTTTTGATAGGTTTATGTACATTTTTTGAACTCAACTCTTTACACAACGTCCCCAAGCCTGTACGGTTCAGGCACCTGACCCTTGAGTTCCCCTCAAGGGTTAGGTTTATGGATCGAATCCCCGTGACCTTTCAGATTTATTATTTGATTTTTTATCCATTTCTTTGCTATTTATTGTTAGATTATTGAGCATCTATTGATTCAATTTGGCCTGTTTATTAATATCCATGGTTTTAAGAGTATCATGCTCATCATTTTCATTCAACTTTAATTATTTCAATTTTGCGTAAAGATTTTTCGTTTAAGTTAACTCATTTCAAAAACCAATCCAGCCTTAATTCGTAAGTTAAATCATAATAATTGGTAGAGAATGATAATGTTGATTCGATATGATAATGTTGTTGATAATTGATGATAATTGGTAGAGAATCGAGTCAATTCAATTGGCGATGATAGGTTTACAATTAGTTTGTTTGAATACATTTTTTGATCGCTCTTCTCTACACATTGTCTCCAAGCCTGTATGGATCGGGCACCTGACTCTTGAGATCTTCCTCAAGAGTTAGGTTTATGGATCGAATCCTCGTGACCTTTAAGATTCATTATTTGATTTTTTTTACCCATTTCTTTACCATTTATGTTTGTATTTAAAAATTAAATTAATTAGTGTGCATCTATTGATTTAATTTTGGCCTTTCCATTGAAATTTATCCCGAATTTGTCATCTTTTGGATGATTTTATTTATTTTAGTTATTCCAAAAGCACTAAAGAATCCTGTTTAAGTTTCTTTATTTTTATTCTAACAGACTGGAAATATTATCACAAATACTAACTATCAATTTATATCTGTTTAAAACATTTTAATGGATTGTTTCCATATTAATTGTTTATTAAAACGGCGTTATTTGAGAAAAATTTCAGTTCAATTTGTCCGTGTTTGGACTACTGTTACAAGTTTACTTCATAGATGGCGGCTCATCACATTCCTGAATGAGGAAAGAGATTTTCATTCAACTCAATTAATTTCAAAAGAGCTTTTTTTTTGAAGTTTATTTCACAAATCAATTTAGATTTACTTGATTGACTAGGTGGTGTTTACATCTATCCAGTAATAATATTTCATTTTTACAGATTTTTACTTCATCAAGGCAAATTTCCTCATTCATCAAAGATACTCGTTCAACAGGAACTGGTATTCGGCAAGTTTCTCTAGGTTCGCTTAAAATGGACTTATTTTCGTTATAGTTTAGATCCATTTCATAATTAGTAGCATTGAGAACATAAAAAACAAGATAACAGTGATAAGCCCTAAAACGTATAAATGTATGAAAATTAATAAAATATTCATCAAAATTTGTCCACCTTAATGCTGTAAGTTATATTAAATAATACAAATTGGTTGAGAATCTATTCAATTTGATTGGCAAGGATGAATGAAATAGCTTAATAGATTGTAAATTTTTCTTAATTGTCTAAATATTTGATAGAAATTGGGAAATTTAAATATGGTTAATCATTGAACTAACAATTGGAAGGTTTATGTCCATTTTTTGAGCTAATCTCATTACACATTGTCTCAAGCCTGTGTAGATCAGGCACCTTACCCTTGAGTGCACGCAAGGGTAAGGTTTATGGATCGAATCCCCGTGACCTTACAGTTTTATTATTTGATTTTTTTATTCGTTTCTTTGCTATTTATGTTTAAATTTGCATATTTTAATTGATAAGTGTGCATCTATTGATTCAATTATGGCCTGTTTATTAATATCCATAGTCTTAAAACCATGCTCAGCCTTTTCATTCAACTTTAATTATTTTAATTGTCAGTAAAGCTTTTCGTTGAAGTTGGCTCATTTCGCAAACCAATCCAGCCATATTTTTGTAAGTTAGATCATATGATACAAATTGTTTGAAGATCGATTCAATTCAATTGGATATGATGGGCTTACAATTAATTTGGTAATCTACATTTTTTGACATTATTGTTTCAACCAGTGTCCCCAAGCCTGTATGGATCAGGCACCTGACCCTTGAGTTCCCCTCAAGGGTTAGGTTTATGGATCGAAACCCAGTGACCTTTGCAGTTTCATTATTTGATTTTTTTATTCATTTCTTTGCTATTTATTGTTAAACTTAAATATTTTATTGATTAGCGTGCATCTATTGATTCAATTTTGGCCTGTTCATTCAAATTTATCTTTAATTTGTTATCTTTTGAATGATATTATTTATTTTAGTTATTCCAGAGGCACTAAAGAATCCTGTTTAAGTTTCTTTATTTTTATTCTAACGAACTAGAAATATTATCACAAATACTAACTATCAATTTATAGATATTTATTTATTGATTTATTTATTGCTGTAAATGTAAAATAATCCAAATCGGTTGAGAATCTATTCAATTTTATTGGCAAAGATGAATGAAATAGTTTAATAGATTGTAAATTTTTCTTAATTGTCTTAATATTTGATAGAAATTGGGAAATTTAAATACGGTTAATCATTGAACTAACAAGAAAAAGGTTTAGTACATTACTTGTCTTCACTTTTCTACACGATGTGCTAAGCCTTACATGATAAAGGCACCTGATCCTTGAGTTCCCCTCGAGGATAGGTTTATGGATCGAATCCCCGTGACATTTCTGTTTCATTATTTGATTTTTTATCCGTTTCTTTGCTATTAATTGTTTTACTTAAATGTTTAATTAATTAGTGAGCATCAATTGATTTAATTTTGGTCTGTTCATTCAAATTTATCCCGAATTTGTTGCCTTTTGGAAGATTTTATTATTATATTAGTTATTCCAAAAGCACTGAAAAATCTGTTTTAAGTTTTTTTGTTTGTATTCTAAAGGACCAGAAATATTATCACTAATAGTAACTATCAATTTATGTCTATTTAAAACATTTGTTTGGATTGTTTCCATATCAATTGTTTATTAAAAAAACGACCTTATTTGAGAAAAATTTCAATTCAATTTACCGGTTTTTGGGCTACTGTGACAAGTTTACTTCATAGATGGCGGCTCACTGTATTCATGAATGAGGAAAGGCTTCAAGTAAGCCTGGCTTACTTTAACACATGTTTTTGACAACACCAGTCAATATTATTTTTTTGATATTGTGATTTTTATTTATTTATTTATATTGTTTTCACTAATTTAATCATGAATGAAGAAGAGATTAAAACTCAACGTAAATCATGGGAATTGGAAGACCATTGGCAATTAAGGAACGCGTTCATGACTACTTACTGTGATACTTTTCCTCCGGACAAATTGCTGTGTTTGGCTCAAACATTTGTTAATGTTGAAACTCTTGGTGTCAAATACAGTCCAGATGTTATGGAAGAGATCGAGAGATTGGCGGAAAACGTGCCTAATCTAGCCGAGTACCGAGCTACTAAAGAAAGAAGAGACGAGGAAAGTGCAGAGCGAAAAAAGACGCGGAAACAGGAAAAGAAAAATTTCAAGGTTCCAAGATATGATCGGAATAATCAACGAGACTATTATCGTAAGTAACTAACAGTTGCTTTAATTTATTACATCCAACAATCGAGTATCAGATCAGGCTGTAGACTAGCTAGTATAACATAAACTTTGCATAAGAGAATAATCGATTAGTTAAAATGAAATTGCTGCATAATTCACTTAATAAACGCAAGCAAAAACGCTCGAATACAAAATTTTCGATAAAAGGTTCCTTCTCTAATTTCCAATCAGTTTGTATGATTACCGGGAACTTGATTCTCTCTAAGAAACTGCTTTAACAGTTTCCATCGATCCATTTGCCATTTTTCGATATAGACTTGTATAATCGTAAAAATAGCCTCCTTCCTTAAGTTGATTAGTTACTGTCTTTGGGAAAATACCAATGATACAGTCATAGGGTGCTAGTGCGGCATAACCACTCTTCCAACATTGATCATAAATTAGCTCCAATTTATTGCCGGTAACAAGAAAACCATAATATTTTTCTGTTCTCAATTTCAGCTCAAAATTGTTGGTCAAGGCGATAACCTGTCCACTGGTTCCCAGTAAAAGTGCCACACAGACAGAGATATAAAGTGCGTTGGTTGTTAAAATTTTCCAATCAGGATGAACCAATGGAGCAAGCATTTCCAAAACCCGAACAAATCGACGTAATTCCCTGTAGACGGAGGATACAAAAAAATCAACTATAAATATTTCATATTTTGTCTTCAACTGTCAACTGGTTTGATTATAAACCTCGGAAAAAAATCATTATAAAAACCTTTTGTTCATTTCTGTTAAGGCTCTGACATTAAACACTTTTTGTTTACACTCATTAGTAACATTTTGCGAGTTTTTCACACTTTCTCAACCCTCCATTTTTACCCCAGTATTTACCTTATAATTTAATTAAGTCATATTCTCATCCAAATTTACACCAAGAACAAAAGGTAAGACAATACCTCAGGCAAGATTGCCATTTTTTTGAATTACATCCATGAACTAACAGACTTGTTTCTTCCTTTTTTTTCCTAGAAACTTTAAGAAACTAAAAAACTCTATCAACCCAAAGGATTGAACTGTCTGCAAATTGAGTGGTTAAATTATGGCGAATCTTGTTGGGAATCTTTTAATCTGGATTTTTCAAACAAAAATCAATTATACGATAATCTGATTTAGTCAATATTCAGTGTTAATCAGCATATTTTATCAATGATATTTGCGTAGAAGCCAACAAAGTAAAGTAAAAATGCAAGTAAACCAAACAAACTAAAGAGTTAAACAGTCAAAGTGATTAACTATAATAGAAGTTGATGAAGCAAATAAGCAGATTATTAACAAGGTAATACAATAATTAGATTTAACCAGTGATGCATAATAACATTCATTTCTCATTAGGTAAGCTTATTTCAGAATCCTGGTTAAATCTGGTTTACCCGTCAATTCACATTTATTAACAATTGTAACCCTAACAAGCTTTCAAGTTTACTCTCATTTAGCTAAACAACTGATTGTCATTGACATTACCAAATTTAAATTAAAAAAACAGTGCAACCAACAAAAACAAACCCAAAATCATTGATTTACCTTTTCCCAGACTTTCATTGGAAACTTCAACACAAAGCATATTTACATTATTGATCTTTAAGACGATTCAAATTACATTATTGAAATGAATATATCGATAGTCAACTATCAATCATTAACAGAACCAATTGTCTTCATCATTCATTGTTAGCCAAGTGACAAATGAACATTTTTAGAAACAATAAAAAACTAAAATTTCAATTCAACTCATTCCATGATATAATATAAATTACTAATATTAATTTAGTTACTATGGACATCGAAGGCAAAAATTCAATATTGTTTTTAAAAATCAATCTAAGCAAATGTTTAAAGCAATTCACTCGCAACAGAACAGTTATTAATAAGATTGTTGAGTGAATTATTTTAAATGAAATGGTAATTGAAATTACTAATCATGATTCTAACGTTGAGCAAATAATGAAAAGGTTGAATCAATATTTAAGTGTTGATTATCGATTAGATTGATTTTAGTGTTTTATTAGATATTCAATGTAAACAAGATGTTTTACTGTACCCATTATTCATCAATAATTTATCATCAATGTTGTCAGTAAATTAATTTTTCATCTTAATTCTATTATATTGAATCATTGAATTCATTTCAAATTGATTGTTTCAAAATGAACCTAAAAAATGATGAATAAACATGATTTATTAACCATCTTAAGCAACCTCACTCAAATTGGCTTATAAGTAAATCGGTTAAAAGAAACCAGAAAACCAGAAAAGCTTCAACCTTAACCTCAACCTTAATTTAACCCAAAATTTAAACCAAAACCTGGAGTTAACCAGAATAACTTCACCAATCAATCGATTAGCACATTGTTTAGTTTATTCAATTTTGATTTGCTAATCTAAATTGTAAACAACAACAAGAAGCAAGTTGATTGATTTAGCAAATTGAAAGCTATTTTTAATCATTAAATTTGTGTAACACATAATTTTTGGTTAACAAATCATTTAGATTATCATGAACAACCATGAACAGAATAAGAAAAGAAGAAGAAAAAAATCAATTGATTAATAGGTTTATAAGATGAAGATGTTGAATGTTGCAACGAGAAATGAATTGAAAACTTGCAGAAATGGTTTTTTAGGTTAACATTTTCAAGTTTCCCTGGTAACAATAATAAACAAAGATTAACATTTTACACTTGATTGTGATTAGTTGGAACTAAATTAACAGATTCACATTTTGTCTCGACAAAGTATTGACAAAATGTGATAATTCAATGTTATCAACATCATTAAAAGATTCAAACTGGTGAATTTAAAGAGAGTTGAAAATGCCATCCATGCATTAGCATAAGACAAAGAAACAATCAATACAAAATTAGAATTGAAAATTACAAGGTTTTCATTATTATCATGATATTTCCATTTTTACCTTGCTCTCTTCATGACGATTCCAATAATAATAAACACTAAAAAAGAGATAAAATCAGGTGAAATGTAAATCAACATTTGCTGTTGAGGTTAAATGAGTAAATCAATATCAGAGTCAATGGGAATATCTTGAAAAGACATTGAAATGTTGAACAGTTCATGTTAACCTTTGATTGGCAGTATTATTGTTGGTCTAATCTCAATAATCATGAATAACATTAATTGATAAGCAACACACCCAAGAATTCATTGAACCAGATTATTTGATTGTTGTTGGGTTAATCAATGGAAGAGCAACATTTCAATTTTTCACTTTTGTCCATCAATTAGCATTTCATTTCATTTTCACTCATCAACCCATCCAAGTGTATTGAAATGCCATTCAAATGTTTGCCAAAAATTGTTTCCATCATTTCAACTCAAACACATTATACTTTGTCCTTTTTTTTGTCACAAAATTGTGTGATATTTCACGTTACATCATTTATTTTCTGGAATAAAAAATGAAAAATAAACTCGACAAAATTGTTTTATTAATGGATTTTACGGACAATTTTTCAACCTTTTTTTTCTTGCTGCTCCAGTTTTGCCAATCCATTTCAAATGTTTTTGCCATTACATCGATATTGTAATCAAATGAAGTTGCTCCATCAATAGTTATCCATAATGTCAATCTAATAATATTTTATTCTCAATCAAAATCGACTTTCTTTATATTAAAAAATAAGCAAATTTTGATTTATTTAAAGGATGAAACATTTTCTGGAGAAAAAAAATTCCATGCAAATCGTTTAGTATCATTATTGAGAGCTTCTGGAATTTTCAAGATTGAATAGATTGTTGTTTAAATGAAAATTTTCTTGTTTCTCTGAGAATCTATTTTTCAGTTTTAGACAGTTATTTGGAGTCGAAATAAGAAGAGTCAGAATTTTTCGATTGCAGGCCGAATCGAGATAGGTTTCAGTTCGAGTTGAAATTAACCTGAAAATTGTCAACTTGCTTGAACAGATTTTTTACGACTAACTTCATACTTGTCTGTGATAAATTGATAGATAATGATATTTTATCGTCAGTTTTTATTTGATTTACTTTGAACAGAAAGCAAAATCTAATTCAATATGGTCATTGTAAATTGTGTTTGATTGGAAATTAATTTCTTGTGTTTGGACAATCAAGCTTTCAATTGTTCTAGAGCGACTTTGATTTAAATTGTTTAAACGTTAAGAGCATGAAATGTAAAGCTATATGTACAATCCCCGGGATTCTGGAACACCTTTGCTTCGAAGATTGTTTTTCTGATTAAGAGTGTTTGGTTTCACTTCTTGATGGACGAATTGGGCATGAAATCAACAAGACAGGGAAACAGAAAATATCTGTAATTCAATATGAAATTTCGTATAAATGCTTCCTTTCTCATAATAAGTTAAATAAGTTTTGACATTTTTGTATCAAAAAATCTTAAAAGAAAAATTGAAAGGAAAAAGTAGAAAATAAGCAAAGTTTTGTATCTTAACACGATATTTTTAAGATTATGGATAACAAGTTTGAAAAATAAGTCCACTTCTAGGTCATTGATAGTAAAATCAGATCAGCTCGCTAAAAGTACGCTTCCATAGTTGCTGATGAATGTCTGTAAAAGACTAATAGTTAGCCCCAACGGAGGCATAATCACATTATTTGAAGGCTCATTCCAGAGGGACCGATAAAAGAGTCGAAAGTAACTTGTTGATGAAATTGAAGCTCATTATGAGAACCTCGGTTGGTTATTGTTTGATAAAAAAGCTTTCACTTATCAATAAAAGTGAATGGAAGAAGTGATCAAACTGAAACTGAAATCAATGATAATGAATAGAGTTTAGCATTCTTGGGGAATGAAAGAAGATAAAAAAGGTTTCCCTTCCAGACAACGAAATGACAGCAAAAGAAGTAAAAAAGAAGTGCTGGACGAGAGATCGGGTTAAGTACTTTAAAATAGTCAGTGATATTCATGAACATAGTTGATGTATTCATGCAATCATATGAGTTGAATTGACAAAAGGTAAGAAAATAAACTCCAAAAAGACTCAAGTAAGTTGTCATAGACTCAAAGATGCTATCATTACTATTGCTGAACCGTTGTCCAGAATCTCATGAAATGTTTACATTGGTCTTTTCCTTAAATTAATTAATGTACAGTTGAAGGATTACCTACAATGAACAGCTAACAATAGATTTATTAATCTAAAATAAATTGCATCCACTAATTATCTTGTCAATGGTCAAGTTGGAATCAATTAGAATCATAATTATTATCCAATTACCTGATCAACTGATATTTTCCAAGCTTATTAGTGTTACTTTGGTCAAATCGGAGATTAATTTGTCTCTAAAAATAACCATCTTTTCATTGACTAACTACTCTTGATTTTACTCTTTTCATTTTTAATGTACAATTTAATGTATCAATTTGTTGAAGAAGCAACAATTAGACAAAATAAAATGCAATTTGTTTGACAGCATTTGTCATTGATTGAAGGAAACAAAAACAAGAAGCATTTTTTGCAATTTTTTTTACATAAAACGTTTACAATTAGGAAAAGAATCAGCTGTTGTAATTGAAGAGAATTGGGTTAAACATGGAGAGAAGGCAATAAATAAAGGCGAAACAATCGCGATCAGGAAAGGTAAGCAAATATTTACTCAAGCAAATTGTTGATATTGATAATGATGATGATTTAATGATTTAACTGTATCCTCATCACTCCAATCAATCAGCTAATGGCATTATTATATGTTTGCGTTTAATCATTATCATTCTAATAGACCGTTCAACACCACTTTACCCAATTGATTTCAACCTTTGACAGATTTTCAACCCAAAAA